TAATTAAACAGTGAAGAAGTAAACAGAGTCATTCAGAGTGGTTTGAGGCGAAACGCTCTGCTCTAGAGAAACTTACAGAGCCAGAAATGTTCACACTGGTGGTGATAGGAACCAGACGTCCACCTATAAAAGCTCCCTCACAGGTAGTTATTAAAAGAAATGGTTATGAATATGCTGCCTAATGCCTGAGACATATTTTGTTCTTTTTTCTTTTCATTTGTTTTTTGTTTGTCTTGAGAGAATGTTTTTGTCTTAAAACGCATTTGTGAATAGAAATTTTTAAAAATCGGTGGAATTCCCCTTTAAGACTTTTGTGTAGGTTTAAATACCAATAACAGTCCTAATTCATTCACATGACCATGTCAAATCCTTCTTCATCCTTTAGAATTAAACAGGGTTTTATACAGTTGTATGCAAAAGTTTTGGCACCCCTGGTCAAATGATATGTTTTGTTGACTTTCTAAGTGAAAGTAAATGAGCACATCTTCTACACAGAACACACTTCTGCACATTTTAATACACACTTACTGTGCATTTGCTGAGTTTAACACGGTGGGGGAAAGAAAAAAAAAACATAAAAAGTGGCCTGTGCAAAAGTGATGGCACACTTTATACTTTTTTTTTCCAATATGTTAACCTCAGTAAATAAACTGAAATTGTGCACTAGACAAATAGAGAAATACAGAAAATACTATATTTAAGTGGGTTCCCTGTAGAGGATTTATTAACTTATTGTATTTTTACTTAGAAAATCAACACAGCATGCGGTTTGACTGGGATTTAAGCTTTTGCATATGACTAGAATTTCCTCTAAAGGCTGCCTCACACAAGTTATTACATGAAGTGTTTTTGAATATGCTGCCTGATGTCTGAGACATTGTTTTATGATAGTTTTGGGATCTTAAGATTGATTTAAGCCGACTACTGGTGGCGAGGTACTTGCAAGGTGTTGTAAGGCAACAAACATCCAAAGAAAACATACTTTTTGAGACTGTTAACTGTTTTATCATCATCAACTTTATATATACACCAATCAGGCATAACATTATGATCCTTGTTTCTACACTCATTGTCCATTTTATCAGCTCCACTTACTATATAGGTGCACTTTGTAGTTCTACAGTTACAGACTGTAGTCCATCTGTTTCTCTGCATACTTTGTTAGCTCCCTTTGACCCTGTTCTTCAGTGGTCAGGACCCACATGGACCCTCACAGAGCAGGTACTATTTGGGTGGTGGATCATTCTCAGCACTGTAGTAACACTGATGTGGTGGTGGTGTGTCAGTGTGTGTTGTGCTGGTCTGAGTGGATCAGACACTGCTGGAGTTTTTAAACTCACTGTCCACTCTATTAGACACTCCTACCTTGTCAGTCCACCTTGTAGATGTAAAGTCAGAGACGATAGCTCATCTGCTGCTGCACAGTTTGTGTTGGTCATCCTCTAGTCCTTCATCAGTGGTCACAAGATGTTGCCTACAGGATGCTGCCGACAGGACGCTGTTGCCTGGATATTTTTGGTTGGTGGACTGTTTTCAGTCCAGCAGTGACACTGAGGTGTCTCCAGCAGCACACACTAACACACCACCACCACTACATCAGTGTTACTGCAGTGCTGAGAATGATCCACCACCCAAATAGTACCTGCTCTGTGAGGGTCCATGTGGGTCCTGACCACTGAAGAACAGGGTCAAAGGGGGCTAACAAAGTATGCAGAGAAACAGATGGACTACAGTCTGTAACTGTAGAACTACAAAGTGCACCTATATAGTAAGTGGAGCTGATAAAATGGACAATGAGTGTAGAAACAAGGAGGTGGTCATAATGTCCAATCGGTGTATTTCCATATAAAAACTCGTGTAGGTTCACTGGTGGTTTTGGATAGTAAATAAAATGTCTATATCTGTGTTGTAGTCATGGCGACCCCTGGTTCCTATCACCACCACTGTAAAGACATCTGAACCATTTCACACCAAACCACTCTGAATGACTCTGTTTACATCTCAGTGGTTGAACTATACAGACATTTTGAAAAGAATTGGTGGGATTCCACTTTAAAAGGAGAGCAAAAGTAAAGAGAGAGAGAAATAAAGAGTGAGAGAGAGAGAGAGGCAGATGGAGAGATACAGAGAGAATAAGGGCGCACAGCACTCAAAGGGCAGTGGGCTAAGCTTGGCCTGACCATATTTGCTGAGCAAATTACTGTCAGACAATTCATAAAGGGATAAAGACACCGAGACACGTGTCTGCTGTGTGTGCTGAGCTGGGGGGGGGGTGACATTGCCTTGTGGTGTTAGACGAGTTGGAGCCTGTTTTGTGACAGGTAACAGGCAGCAGGGCACCTGTCTGCTTTCACAAAACAAAGGACACCAGCTGAAAGCGGCTGGAACATCTGGGCAGGGAAGAGAAAGTGGAGAGAAGAAGAAAAAGAAGAGAGAGAGGGAGTGAAAAGCATAACAGAGTGCGCTGTGCTTTTTTGTCCGAGTGTGCGTGAATCACAGGAGGCTGAATGAAGGCCTGCGCTGCTCTGTTTGGCGAGTAAAGGGCAGAGTAGGCGGGAGTTGGTCCAGGGCTGCGTGTGTTTGCAGGCTGGCCGGCAGCGGCGCTCATCATCATTCTTCAGGACCAATATTGACCGATGCCGAGCGCTTTCATCTCCTCTGACCGGCGTGTCTGAGTGGGTGACTCAGGCTCGCTTTAATTAGCTTTTGAAGATGAATGGCGCTGCGTTCCCCACAGCCAAGAACGGTGTAATATGCTTGTGTGCTTAAGGGAAGACGCTCACTACTACACTCTTAAAAAAGATGGTTCTTCAAGGGTTCTTTAGCAAAGAGAATGGTTCCATTTAGAGACATGAGCTCTACATAAACCATTAAATGTTTTTTTGCATTGTGAAATCATTCTTCAGATTGAAGAAGATGTTGACGGTTCTATATAGCACCAAAAAGGGTTCCTCTATTGTTACAATGTCAAGTTTGTATACAAGCGGAATACTTTTAGCGGAACCCATATACAACACATCTGAAGAACCATTTAAGCATGAAATGGTTCTATATAGTACCATTGTGGTCCTATATAATAGAACCATTGCCTTTACTAAAGAACCCTTGAAGAACCATTTTTTAGTGTGTAGTCAAGCTTGTCTACAATAGTAGAACACTTTTTGATGCTATAGAGAACATTTTCAAAAAGGTTCTATATAGAACCATATGCAACACATTCTCTATCAATCTGAAGAAAAAAATCACCATGTAAATAAACATTTAAGCATTAAAGAATTCTATATAGAACCAATGGTTCTAAATAAAACCATTCTCTTACTAAAGAACTGCTGAATCTTTTTTAAGTGTGTTATCAAGCTTGTATACAATAGCAGAACCCTTTTGGTGCTATATAGAGCCATATACAACACATTAGACTACACATTCTATTGAACTCATGGTTCTTGCCTTTACTAAAGAACCATTGAAGAACCATGTTTTATAAACATGTTGTCAAGCTCGTATACAACAGCAGACCCCTTTTTGGTGCTATATAGAACCATTTTCAAAAAAGGACCTCATACAACACATTCTCCATTAAACTGAAGAACCTTTTCACCATGCAAAGAACCATTTAAACATAAAAGGACTCTATATAGAACTCTATGGTTCTAAACAGACGCATTCCCTTTGGTAACAAAACCTTCTTTTTAGCGTGCTGTCACCCTATGGTGCTATACAGAACCCTATACAACACATTCTCCATAAACCTGAAGAACCATTTAACCATGCAAATGGTTCTATATAGAATTCATGGTTCTAAATAGAGCCATCCCCTTTACTAAAGAGCCATCTTTTCTGAGTGAAATAAAATTTATTATTGTCTTTATGTCACCTTATGTCACATCTGTGCTCTCTACACTGTGCAGGTACAAAGTACAACAGTGGTTTTAAGGTCTGATTGTGAACCTTAAATAAGTTTTTCCAGGTGAAAAGTTTGTATTTGTATCTTTTCATAACCGAATGTTTTAAAACAGAACAGTAAAATAAAAGCCTGGAGACGAGACGGGGTGTGTGGAGTCAGTACAGCTTAGAACATATCATTTCAGTGGATTATGGTTCAGTTATGTTCCCTGACTAAAGGTACTGAGATGTACCCTTGAGGGTCCCACCCCAGTGACAAGCGGGGGACTGCCCCCGTGACAGTTTAGTACCATTTTGTCCTGAGAGTGTATAAATAATAGTGTTTTTTTACTGAGCTGGGAAATTCTGCTGTTACAGTGCACCAGCAAACTGGAATATAATACAGGAAAATAAAGCTGTGATCTCAGTTATTTTACTATTTAACTTTATTTGTTGGTGCAGATTTTTGTTTTATGTCGTTATCTAAGTAGGTTATTTTACTTCTTTAAGTTGTTTTCATGACATATTTTATCATTATTTCATGTCTCTTTCTTATTTGAGCCTGTATTTATTTTATTTTCTTTACTAATTTTACTCTGTTCATTTAGTTTTGTTACTTTGATTTGTCTTAGTTGATTAAATTTCATTTTAAACCTTTTCAGTCCCTGTTCAGCTTGCTCGGCTACATTGTAAAGGAGAGTCACTCTCAATTGCTTCTGATTCGAAATAAAGGTTGATTGATTAATTTTTTTTTCAATAATAACTTATACAGTGTGAATTAAACTATTATAAAGATCAAAACATTATAAAGACAGACACCAGACAGTATTTTAAGATGTTGCAAGTAACATTTAAAGTTGTTCATGAAAAGCAAAAAAAGTTTTTAAATATTTTATTGTTTTGTTAAAAACATTGATACCAAACCTTTGCAGGATAGATGCAAAATAAATCCCACCTCCAAGACCACCCAGTCAACACAAGAGGGCACTAAAGAGAGCTGTAACAGTTGTGTGGTGCAGATTTCAGCATCCTCTCTTCCACAGTGTGAACAATCAGCTCAATCAAACTGTTATTTCATGACAGAAGATATTCTGAAATATTCTTGCTGTTTTCTACAGGACGTCCTCCACAAGCAGGGACCTCCGCCCCTGTGTTCACGGTTTGAGGCTCATATGAGGGCCCATCCTGGACCAGCCCGGCCCCCATGTTTCCTGAGCAGGCTACCCCAGCCAAGACTCCCTCAGCTACTGCACAAAGGGAAGCCCCTCAGCGCTCCAAGAGCAGCAACTAGGACCGGTGAGCTGCAAGAGTTTTCACTCAGCACAGTTCGAGCATTTCATTTGAATCGATTTGTAGCATCGTGTTTAAAAAAAAGTTTAAATAAAGTACATTAAAGTAAAACTACTAATTAAAGTACTAATAAAGTTAAACATTAAAAAAGTCTACATTGTAGTGTCAAAAATTAACGCTTAAATTATTTTAATGATATTGAAAATGGAAAATAGTGATGAAAATGCTGTTTGTTTTCTTTGCTGTCCTGTACCGGTCAGCAGAGACATGTTCAAACAGTTTGAGCAGCAGATCTACAGCAAAACACTCAAACATGGGCCACTGCATCTGCAGAGTGTACGGTCTTTATCTTACTAACTAATTTAATGAGATTTTTCAATGCAAATCATGTGAATAATGCTGAGTAGCTAAGAAACCTTGTTACGTCTCATTTTGAAACTTTTTACTGTAAACAGAAGTTTCCAAATCCATGTCTGTGTGCTTTACATCCCTGATAGCAAGAGGACAGTGGACCACTGCCGGCCCGCTGATGGCAGAGCTGGTGCTCCACTGACGTTTTGCTCAGCGTTTTCTGGGCGGTCCACCAGTGTTTAAGCGGAGTATTAAACAAAATTTCACTTATCATCAATCATTTTCCACTCACAGTCCAATTTACTGATTTTCCCTTCCTTCTTTCTTTAGTCATACTTTGTAAATTAGTTTAATAAATAATTTTAATCTTGCACAGCGTCAGCAACAACATTTTCAATAGAATAATTTTACATTAGGCCTAATCATTATCTTTTTGTCTCTGGTTTGTTGGTAAAATTTGTGTAAGTTTATTTTCTAACATAAAAGTCTGTGTGCATTTAAAATCCATTTGAGGAGATTAAAACCTAGTTAAAGCTTATATGCAGGACAGTAATCCGGGTGGTCCGAGGGTGGACCAGCAGTGGCAAGCCAGCGGACCGATATATGCGTGCTGTCTAGGATATTATATATTATGTATAACATATTACACTGCAGCTGCATTCTGTATAGTCTTTAACTTATATGGCTTTAGCATTAACTAATTTAATGAGATTCTTTAATGGAAATAATACTGAGTAACTAATAAACCTTTTCACGTCTCATTTTGAAACTTGTTACTGTAAACACAAATCCACATCTGTGAGCCTTGCGTATTAAAAAAGAGGTGTTTTCCATCATCAGTGGAGGCTCCCAGGAGCATATATAGAATGCTTTCTTTAGGTTTTTCGGTTTCGGTTTCAGCTGAGTGTCCCTTGACTTTCCATTTCAGTCCTGATGTTTCAGTTTGGTGCATTGCCAGTTTTGTTTTGTTTGTTTGTTTAATTTGCTGTTTTATTACGGTGGTTTTTCAAGGGTTTTTTAGTAAAGAAAATGGTTCTATATAGACTCCACATTCAAAGAACCCTTTGTATGATAAAAGGACTCTTTGTATCATGAAATAGTTCTTCAGATTGATGGAGAATCGTTCTAAATAGTACACAAAAGGGTTTTTCCTACTATTACAAGCTTGACACTATAACAATAGAAGAACGCTTTTTGGTGTTATATAGAACCATTTTCAAAAATGTTCTGTATAGAACCATTAAGCTTATTCTCCATCAGTCTGAAGAACACTTTCAAGATGCAAAGAATCCTTTAATCATGCAAAACGTTCTTTGAGTGTTAATGGTTCTATATAGAACCATTTTCTTTACTAGAGAATCCTTGAAGAACCATCTTTTTTAAGGGTGTAGAATAAAAAAAATGCATTTGTTATTAATAAAATCTATGTTCAATAAGGTAAAACTCAATAATTAAAACAGTTCACATAAAATAAACTTACTAAAAGTATTACAGTCTGTGTTCTGTTATAATAGGCGAGTGCTGCATACAACATCCTCATTAACAGAGAACTTATAATCATCAAAGGCAATAAATTCCATTTTTTAGTCATACATTAAACTATATTTTCACTCTGCTGCTGCTCAAGCTGTTTAAACGTGTCTGTGCTGACCGGTGCAGGAGAGCGAATGGAAAAAAAAACAGTTTTTAATCACTGTTTCTCATTTTCATTCACTCTTTAAACAGATGGTTCTTCAAGGGTTCTTTAATAAAGACAGTGGCTCTGTGAAGAGCCATCAACACTCAATGAACCATCTGCATGCCTAAATAGTTCTATGCAGCCTGAAATTGTTCTTCAGATTGATGGAGAGTGTGTTGTATATGGTTCTATATAGTACCTAAAGGGGTTCTTCTATTGTTTCAAGCTTGACTTTGTAACAACAGCAAGACCCTTTTTCATGCTATGTGGAACCATTTTCAGGCTCTATGTTTGACCATTCAAAAAAAAAAAAAAAATTGGTAACACTTTCTGTGAATACCAGTTCTATAAGAACCTATGAGCACTTTCATAATATGTTATTCATAAGGCGTCATAAACATGGCAATAAATATTTATAAAATGCATTACACTTTATAGCCATGCTTATTATGCATTAGGAATTGTTAAGTGCACTGTAAGTAGTGTTAATAACATGTTATAAGAGCTTGTAAGCTGTATTTTTCAGGTCTAAGTAAAGTGAGGTGTACTGCACTAAAGGCTCCTCCAGTATTAAACACTGAAACATACAAAGTATGATTTTAAACTAGTGGTGTGATCAGTAGTACTTTGACCAATGTGGGAAAGTTAATGTACACCACCGTTAGCTTGGCCATAATTTAACTAATTTAATTTAATTGCACATCCAGTAGAATGCTAGCAGAAATTAGCATTACATTACATTAGTGTAGTGATGTTACACAATGAAGGATTCTGGGGCTTAAAGTTAGAGCCAGAGAGGGAACAAATTACAGTGATGTAATGTTTACATACAGTAATGTTTAAAGTGAGAGTGCTGGTTAAGAAAAAGCACATAGTAGTAATAACTCTGGACTGGACAGCTTGTTTGGGGCTGCTTTCTGAACATTCAGGACTTAAGCCCCAAAGGTCCCTCCCTAAGAACACCTGTCGTGAGAAATAAAACACCAGAATCGCCATGGCAACAATAAACTTGTCTCACTTTACTTTACACTCTGCAAGCTGGGACGGACTTCTTTGGCGCTAAAATGCATTATGTTAACAATTCATAATGCATAATAACAATGGCGATGTAGTGTAAATCCTTTTCATAAATATTGATAGCCATGTTTATAATGCCTTATGAATGCACTTAACTTATTATGAATGTGATTATAGATGCTCATAGACATGATATTCATAGAAAGTGTTGCCAAATTTTTTTGGCCAAAATATTCTGCCTTTTTCTCTTTCAGCTGAAAACCAAAAGTGCCACATTTGACCGTTTTAGGCCAAAATGTTTCAACAGCTGGAATTCTGGTGCATCCCTGTTGATCATTCAAGATTTTTAAGATAATATAGGGTTCTTTAAGCTGCCATGCATGCATTGTGTATACAGTCATATGCAAAAGTTTAAGCACCCCAGTCAAATTCCATGTTTTGTTGATTTTCCAAGTGTAAACAAGTGAACACATCCTCTGCAGAGAACACACTGTTGCACATTTGAATGCAGAATCACTGTTTATTTGCGGAATTTAATTTAAATATTGGGGAAATAAATAAAACATAAAATTTGGCCTACTCAGCAAATAAATAGGAATTGAGCTCTAAAATTTGCAAAAAATGCCACAAAAATGCCTCTATTGACTTTCTTTCACTTAGAAAATCAACAAAACATGGAATTTGACCTGGACTTAACTAAACCATGGTCAGGTGTATCCAAACCTTTTGCATTTGACTGTATGTCTGCATGTGTGTATGTGTTTGTGTAAACCCTTGACGATGCTGAGGACCTGCTACCTCTTTCAGGGATGTTGCCATGATGTAAAGGCATTTGCGCAGGCTTGGCCGTCAGCGCTGCGAGGCTGTGTTTGAGTGCAGGCTCGGGGGAGCAGAGACCGGGGCATTGCTGTACACCGCGGGACAAAACTAATTATACAGCCATATGGTGCTCGGAGGCCCTCACAATCGACCCCGACCTGCCTGCAGCTCCCCAAGGAGTGTGTGTGTGTGTGTGTGTGTGTGTGTGTGTGTGTGTATTTAGTGTGTGTGCGAGGGAGAGTGGCGGATGGTGGTGGGGGGGGCTGTAACAGGGCGCTATGACACATGTCGTTCACATACACATGCACACTCCATCGGTGGTGAGCGTGACTGTGACAGATGGAGAAGGCGAGGGTATTGTGAGCAGAGCAGTACAGAAATGTGGGCTGCATCCATCCATCTATCCATCCATCCATCCATCTACCCCTCCATCCCTCTATCCATTCCTCTCTCTCTGCTCTGACTCTTCACTGACACAGCCTGGCTGGAACAAGTGTGCTTTGTCTGGACTGCTAGGGGCTGGCTGCTCTACAAAGGCTGGCGGTACACCCAGGGGAGGGATGCTGGCCATCAGTCTTAAACAGAGACGCAGTGTGGAAAGAGAGTTAGAGTATTTCAGAATGCACTGGTCAACTTTAAGACTGGCCAGGAAGGGAGAGCAACCCAAAGAGTGGCAATTAAAAAGGACGTACACCAGGACAAGAAAAAGTATCAATAGCTGTTAACACGGAGGTCTTTCACGAAGCCTAGACAAAAAAAAACTCTTATATAATGATGTATCTGTCGTATCTGGACGTCTAAAGATACAGGACATCGCGGCAGGACCTGCCAACCAAAGTCACTGAGACAAAAAGTGTTGTGCTCGTTTGTTTGCCCTCTCAGTTGCTGTCTCCATTAATTAGTCAGATGGGATGTCTGAACCCAATTATGAGAGCGAGTTCCTTCATATAGTGATCCCAAGTGGTCATTACCATATCTTAGAGCCTCTGCATACTGAGTTGGGAACCAGACAGCTGCTCCTAGAAAGGGGCAGCGTTTGGGACGGAGGGGGGTGGTGGTAGAGGGGAGTCCGGGGCCTGTGGTAGAAAGTAGAAGCTCCCAGCAGGCAAAAGGCTGTTTGCTCTGTGGCTCAGCAGAGAGGGGAAGAGAAATGTCACTGTCATGCATGGGACTGCATGGCCTCAGCCTCGTCCCTCTCCCTTTTAGCTGGAAATGATGATGAATACGCTTTCTGCCTGACCCTCGCCAAGGACCCCCGTGTTAATTATTCAGGACCTCTCTTTGTGCACGCTCAACAATGCCTTTCATTAAGGCTGTGTGAGTGCGTGTATGTGTGTGCGTGTACTTGATGTCTTGTGCCGGACAGCCTGTGGGACGGTCAAGTGGTCCAGCTCAACATGAGACAGCTGGAGACTGGGGTCTGATACTTGCTGTATTCCTCTCCACTTTCTAACTGCACTCTAACATTTACTTTTCTCCCAAATTTAGCAGGTTTTGAAGCTCATTTTTGGTCAGAAAATGTCTCCATAACCTTGAGTGTTCACTTTCAGGTCCCAATCTTCATTCATCACGTTCACTTTGTTCTCTCTTCCTCAGAAACCCAGAGACGCTTGCAGTGCCTGAGCGATTACACTAGGAGGCGCTTCGCTGAGGCGCTTCCCAGCGTTCCAGCATCTCCCAACCCAAGTGTAGCCTCTCCAGACCCTCCCTTCTGCCCAACACCACCTGCCCAATCAGGGACAAACCCAGAGGAGTCCCTGTGTGTCTCTTCTAACCCGTCTACCCCAACAAGGCACGAAAAAGTCAGTGACGTTCCTTTGGCAGGACTTTCCTCTCCACATCTTGACTGTGAGGACTATGAAGAGCCTGAAGGTGAAATGGTGACCCCACTGACAATGACTCCTGAACCCCCAGCAACCCCCATGACCCCAAGTTCGCTTTCTGACTTCAGTCGTCCTGCGTCCAGTCAGTTCAGCTTTAGAACTGACCTAAGCAGCAGCCTTTCCAATGCACACTCAGGTATATCTTCTAGAACTTACCAATGTCAAGCAAGTTTAGATCTATCATACACTCTCAGAAATGAAGGTACTAAAGGGGCAGTGCCCCTCTTGTCACTGGGGTGGTTTCCTCAAGGGTACATCTCAGTACCTTTTGTCAGGGAATATCACTGTACCATGATCCATTGAAATGATCCACACAGCCCGTCTCGTCTCCAGGACTTTTATTTTACCGTTCTGTTTTAAAACATTTGGTTATGAAAAGGTACAAATACGAACTTTTCACCTGGAAAAACTTATTCAAGGTTCACAATCAGACCTTAAAACCACTGTAGTACCTTTGAGGAAACATTTATACTGTTTGTACCTTGATGAACGAAAAACGTACCTGAATAGAACCTTTATTTCTAACAGTGTACAGCCTCTGCTGGTGAGACATCATTGGTTTTGTCCAAAGAAACTCGGTACCCCTTAGTCCATGGAGGTGGGAGTGAAGGGGGATTTTACCTACTGGACAATCTTGATTAAGGAATTCTCCTTCATGAAGTACCTCAGCAGATTTGCCAGTGTAGATCTTAAGAACTAGCCAAGGTCTAACTTACAGGGCTGCAGTTATGGATCTGTTGAGGTCAGTTTGAAATAATGTCCCTTAAATAACATTTTGGTTGTCTCTATTTTTGGCAGTGAACCTGAGTGATATTGACGCTGACAATGATGGTGACGTTGGAGATAAAGACGATGATGGCAACAGTGATGACCTAGAGGCCTGCTCTTCCTCCCTGTCTGAGCTTCGCTTCAGCTCATTCATTGGCTCAGCCTTGACCTCCTCCACCCCACCGATATCTCCTGAATGCTGTCTCTCCAGATCGCTCACCTCTCCCAGCCCAGAAACATCATCCACTTGCTTTCCAGACAACTCAAAGTATGACCATATAATCCATGGCCCAAACCTTCCACTGAGACAAGCCAGTATAGACAAAGGTTCAAGCCCCCGTCACACAACTCCAGAAGCTCAGTCCAGAATGGCACCTGCTTCTCCAGTGGAGGCTTGTTCTGATTGGAGCGCCTTCCACTGGCCAGTACTTCCACCAATCGCATCTCAGAGAGGTGAGTTTCTTTAGCCCACAAACTAAGACACATACATAAAACGCACACGGTGCTATTGTAGGCCTGTATGTCTTGGTCTTGAGTTGGGGATTTGCGCTTTCGTCCACACACCGAGGGGTGGATTGTGCCAAGCCTAACTGGACATCCACCATATCGGTAACACAAAAGGGACAGAGATCACATATCACAGCGCTACATCACGGCACGGAGCTCCACCACCACCATGACATAAATATCAAGGAGAGAGCTTTACTCTTTTCTTCTTTATGAAAATCAGGTTGGATGCTGAGGGCGTTCTTTTGATGGAGACTTGAGCTGGTCCTGTTTGAGTCCACAGTTCAAAGCAGCCAGTCCTTTACAATAGAAAGGGATGGGGGGGTCTAAAAGTGGTGGCGGCTGCCCCTTGTACGCCTCTCTGAGCCCCAGCCTCCCGCGTTCTCCCTCCATTCTCTCGCTCTCTCTCTAACTCGCCTTCTCTTTTCTCCGCTCGCTGAAAGACGTAACGTGTGGAGCAAGCGGTCATAAATCCACACTGACCGCCGCCCCGCTGACGGGAGAACAGTGCACGAGTGTCAGGGTTTGGCGTACCTCTCGGACGCCCTCCTCGCGCTAATTTACCGTCCCGTATTGGGATAAAGGGCCGGGGCTGCTGACATCTGACTCGAGTCCGGGCCTTTCTGAAGGAGCGAGACAATTGGGAACTTGTGATGGGAATTTGCCCCTTTCAGAGCAGGCTGTGCACTGTTCTTTGTGCAGTGTTGTTATGGGGTTCTTTCTTTATTTTTGAGATGGGAGAAGGACCACTTGTGGCCCGGTGACATGTTCCTTTATATCAAACTAGAGATTGACTCTTAGGGCTGTATTGGTTCAATTGCTTAGCCAAACCAATGATTGTGGCTAAATCTGATGCTAGAAATACTCTAAGAATACAAACGGTTCTGGTTCTCAAATTTGATTGGCTATGTAGCATTTGAAGCTGGTGCCAAGTATTCGGTATAATCACACATATGACTGCTTTCTGTAGTAATGTGGCAAATTAGTGGAATAATCTTTGATTATTATGTTCAGGGGTGTAAATTTAGGTGGGGTGCCAATATCAGGACGCTATAGCTAATATATAGCAATTCAAACATAATACTAGATGGAAAAGTACACCAGCAGTTACAGTTACCATACTGTCATAAACCTAGAAGCTTGTTTAAATCAACATTTAAAGAACTAAAACGAAGAATGCAATTGCATTTTCAGTGTATCAGTTTGTTTTATAATTATATAAATTATCATAATGATATATTTTTGCCATATCGCCCACCCCTACCCCAAATTTGTTAAGCATAATTTCCAAAAGCGCATCTTGTCTCCCAGTCGCCGCTGTTGGAAGAAAACCTTGTATCACCATTTTTGACATTTTTCTGTTTTTGACATAATCTGAAAATGCCGGTTGTCCTTTACATTGTTTGTAAATTTCATGATGAATGGACCAAAAGAAATGACCAAGAATTACTTGGAAGGAAGTCTGGTTCCATTGACTTACATTAAAAGTAGAGTAGGGTTTTTCCTTCTCCTGTGAAGTTACTATTTTGGAGATACAAGGCTTTCTTCCGACAACAGCACAGTGTTTTTGTACCCAATGCTGCTTGGTGGAAGAATTATTTACAGCAATTATTATTAATAATAAATGAAATTAAAGTAAAATGATTGTAGTAAGCAGCATCTTGAGGCTTATTTCTTTAATAGAGATGTTGTGTTTAGTTCAGAAAGTTGTTTGGTAAAAGAAACAGGAAAACTGACTGCAAAGTCGCAGGACAGGGAAACTCTGGAAGGCGTGGGTGTCCATGCCTGGAGGGGGAATTGGCTGACCCTTTTCTTTCTCGTCACCCTTGTGTATGTGTGTGTGAGCATATATATGTGTGTGTGAGTGTGTGTGTGTGTGTGTCCTCTATAGGGCAGACTCCAAGGTCTTTGTGTTGCTCTTGGACTCTCTTTCACATCCCAAAGCCATGGCCCAACAGTCAGCGGCCGACCCTGGCGCGACCTCTTTCAGCGTCCTCTCCAGAGTGTAACTGTCCTTGATAATGAGATGGACCTCCGGACCCCAGCAGGGCCCCCGACGCACACCCTGACCCTGTCAGCCACGCCGTGTGGCCAGCGAGAGAGGCAGTGAGAGAGAGAGAGAGAGAGAGAGAGGGAGAAAAGAATAGAGAAGCAGAGAGAGAGAGAGAGATTGAATTTACTTGATTCAGACGTTTGCATCATTTTACACATGAATAAAATATGTCATTCAAAGGTTTGGGCACCCCTAGTCGGATGACATGTTTTGTTGATTTTTTAGGTGAACGTTAACCCTGGAAAAGGGTTCTGTATAGCACCAAAAAAGGGTTCTTCTATTGTATCAAGCTTGACATCGTAACAATAGCAGAGCCCTTTTTGGTGTTATATAGAACTGTTTTTAAAAAAGGTTGTATATATAAAGGTTCTAACTATCTATAGCACATGCTCCATCAATCTGAAGAACCCTTTCAGGATGCACTGAACTCTTCAATCATGCAACAGGTCCTTTGAGTGTTCATGGTTCTATTTAGAACCATTTTCCTTACTAAAGAACCCTTGAAGAACCAATATTCACTTGTTTGTGATATGTTGGCCCTTTTTTTAAAAGGGTTGTATATAAAACCATACACAAGATGTTCTCCATCAGTCTAAAGAACCACTTCACAATGCAAAGAACCCTTTAATCACCCTTGAGGAACCATCATTTGTAAGAGTGTAGATCTTCTAGAACCCTTTTGGTGCTATATAGAACCATTTTCAATAAGTTTCTATATAGAACCATATATGACACATTCTCCATCAACCTGGAGAACATTTCTAAAAAAAAAACAAAACATTTAAGCATGCAAAAGGTTCTATATAGAACTCATTGATCTAATTACAACCATTCCCTTTACTAAAGAACTCTTGAAGAACCATCATTTGTAAGAGTGTAGATGTTTCTACAGCACTATAAAAAAGGTTGTTTTATTTGTACAATATCAAGCTTCTAAAAACAAAAGAAACCTTTTTTGGAGTTATATAGAACCCTTTTCAAAAAGGTTCTACATGAAACCATACACAGGACTTTCTCCATCAGTCTAAAGAACACTTGTGTAATTACATGAGGCAAAACTGAAGTTGATACATATGTGTAATTACATAAGCTGTACTTCTGTAATCCATGTGCAACATTGACTAAATCACCAGTAGTTACAGTGTTAATGCATATGTTATTCATGTGTAAATACACAGTTATTAGACACACTTAATATAAAGTGGGACCCAAACATTTGAGCATTTTCTTTTTATCTTCTAAAACATACAATATAAAATCTGCTAACTTTTTACACGACCATTTTGATTTCATTTTGCTCATTTCATCAAATAAGCAGTAATTGTGCATTTGTGCAAATATTAGTGCACTTTGGTTCTTCAGATTGATAAGCAATGTGTTGTATATGGTTCTATATAGCAGCAAAGTGTCAAGCTTCTAACAACAGAAGAACCTTTTTTTAGTGCTACATACACTCTTAAAGATGGTTCAAGGGTTCTCAAGTAAATGGTTCTATATAGAACCATGAAGTACCCTTTCCATGATTAAAGGGTTCTTTGCAGCAAGAAAATGTTCTTCAGATTGATGGAGAATGTGCTGTATGGCATTCTACATAGAACTGTTTTGAAAAGGGTTCTATTTAGCACTAAAAGGGTTCTTCTACTGTTACAAACTTGACATTGGAACAATAACAGATTGCTTTTTGTTGTTCTATGGAACCACTTTCAAAAAGGTACTATATAGAACCATTTATGACACATTCTCCATCAACCTGGGGGCTGGAGCGGCAGTTGTGGGCTGGAGGTTAGGGAACCAGCCTTGTGACCAGAAGGTCGCCGGTTCAATCCCAACTGCTCCCTGGGTGCTGTGGATAGGGCTGCCCACTTCCCCCTAGTGTGTGTGTTCACTAGTGTGCATGTATGTGGGTGTTTCACTGCACGGATGGGTTAAACGTGGACGTCTGATGGTTCTGAATTCTAATAAATGTACTATGTATTCTAAATGGAACCATTCCCTTTACTAAAGAACCCTTGGAGAGCTGTCTTTTTCAAGTGTGTACACTTGACATAGGAAAGAATGTTTAGAGACAGTTGTGATTGGCTGTGGGGCATGTCAATCACAGTTTTGTTGATTTTATGTATGTTATTTATGGTGAAACGTTCACAGCTGAATCATGTCACACACACACATAAAACACCACAATATGCACATAAACAAGAACACATCTATGCTCAGAAACCCAACGTCTCTCCCTCACACACACACAGAAATGGCCTTAAGAAGCAGTTGGCTAAAGATGATGGCCGTCTTGACAGCAACAATATGCTTTGAAGTGTCGAGTCAAGTCCCCCTATTGTGCCTGTGAGTAGTGAGCCGAGGCTCGCTCTCACACAATGACAGCGTGTGTGTCTCTGTGTGTGGGTTTGGGTGTCTGTAGGCGGACTTAGAGGACTTGTGTGAGAGCGTTTGCGCTTTGTTGTGAATGCTTGCATATATATTTGTGTCTGCGGTTCGCTTTGCTGTCGAGAAAGCGGCTTTTGTTTCTTTTGCTGCCTGAGACGCTGTTCTGAATGACAAAATACCCTGAAGTGCTGTCGACCATTTCACTTACATGTATGACGAGGTTAGACAGCACGGGTTTAGAGGCAATGACTGATTAGCAGCACGCAAAGAAACGGATTCCCACTCTTAGAAAAGTGTGTGTGCAGTAAGTGATGTTTTGAATATTAGAATATATGCCAATATATGTGCATCAGTGTAATGAAATATATGGGTCATTCTACAGAAACGTCCACTTTTCTATCTCTCCATAGGAGTCACTGGTGTTACTGATCCTCATTGGTGTTACACATAATAAAGGAAACACCAGAGACATTTTAATGAAAAATGCATTTTACTAAATGGCTGCTACAGAGCATCAAACCACATGTTGTCCATCATGGAATATCCACTAAAATATGTAGTTTAATCCATTTGTATTCTATTTTTTCACAATGACCTCAGAATAAAGTCGGTCACACCAGTGACTTCAGCTAAAAGCTTCATATGAAATCATGAGCTGAATGAGAAAATCTCTGATAACTGAAAGACACAGTGGACTCACCATGTGCTTTTCTTCATAGATCCTCAGAAAACAGGTAAAAGGAAGTCAAGTTTTTATTTTTATTTCAAAATAAGAAATTTTTTGTTACGCAGTAACACCAGTGACACGACTCCTGGGGACAACTTTCATTATGTGTTTTATAATATTTATTTGGCATTTGTTTTCTTTATGTCATTTAATTCATATATTTCATAGTTATGTATAGATTATTGCAGTTAAAAATGGAAGAAAAACATGTTTTTACCTCAAAATAAGGCCTCAGCCTTTACATATGACTGAGGACGAGCTCTTCTGTGGTGCTTGGAATTCTATATGATTGATTTAAAAACAAATATTGCTAAATTGAGGCTCAAGAAGGTGTAACTGTTAAAATAACTCATTGTTTTATTTTAAAATATAAATAAATTGTAACCCTAACATGTTTTTTTAATATATCTGTAAACGCTAGGGACACAAAACATTTCTGCAGAATGACCCATATATATATATATATATATATATATATATATATATATATATATATATGTGTGTGTGTGTGTGTGTGTGTGATATCTGTGCATGTGGGGGGTTTTTCATGACTTCACGAAAACAGTCAAAATAGGCTTTGAAAGTTTTGAAACTACTACAAATACTACATACTTGATGATGGTTCTGCAAGGGTTCTTTAGTAAAGAAACATATTCTATATAGAACCATGAACGCTCAAAGGAGAGGGTTCTTTGCATCATGAAAATGGTTTTCAGATTGATGGAGAATATGCTGTGGATGGTTCTATATAGAACCTTTCTGGAAAGAGTTCTATATAGCACCAAAGAAGGTTCTTCTATTGTTACAATCTTGACATTGTTACAATAGCAGAACCCGATCACGTACGCGAGACAGGCAGACTGAGAAGTTAAGCAAGGCAGTGACTGAGCGTCGTCTGCAGTTCCTCCTCTGATTAGAAGTGTGTTCGGTCTCTTTCAGGCGACACAGAGACGGGAGCATCTCTCAGCTCCCCATTCAGCCGCTCTGAGTCAGACATGTTCGCTGAGCTGGAGGCTGTGGCCCCCAGGACTGGGTCCTGTCTGTCTCTGGACCACCCTGACTGCAGCGACACTGACCCCACCTCGCCAACCACAGGTACGCTTATCCAGACACACCTGCAAATCATTTACCTCCACCAGCCTAGCACTGCCTCAGCTACCACAGGCTCACTTATCCAAACCACAGACACACCTCTGTTAATCCGGCACCTCATATGATCAGAAATTTAATAGAAATATTACCATTTCTTTCTGCTGGTTTGTGCTGTTAGAATCACACTGATTGAATGAAAAAATGATACATTAGTGGGTGAAAACATCTTAAATGTAGCTAATATATCTAATATTTCTCATTATGCGATTGTTGTAAGAATTTTATAAGATTATTCCACGTTTCTGTACATTTTTACTCATTTTAAGTATTTTTTTAGCAAAAGTGTTTTATTCCATTGGCAGATCATTTTATTTTGAGAAATAATAAACATAATTTTGCTTATTTCTAGAAATAAGGATTAAAAGAAGTAAAATGATCTGCCAATGGAATTAGACACTTTCATAAGATATAATTACTTAAAACGAGTAACAAATACCTCACAGCAAGAATGGCCTGGGTTCGATTCCCCGGCCGGGCGACCAGAGTCATTTCTGTGTGGAGTTTGCCTGTTCTCCCCGTGTCTGCGTGGGTTTCCTCCGGGTTCTCCGGTTTCCTCCCACAGTCCAAAGACATGCAGTCAGGCTGATTGGACATGCTAAAATGCCCCTAGGTGTGAGAGTGTATGTGTGTGAATGTATATGTCTGTTTGTCTGTCTGTCTGTCTGCCCTGCGTGGGACTTTTAATATTCTTACAACAGTCTCACAGTGAGAAATATTCAATATATTTACAACATCTAAGATGTTTTCACTTACTGGGATATAATTTTTTGCTGTGCATCACTTGCGCCGATACTGTTTTTGAAAAATTAAACATAACTTTTTATCACCTATGATGTCACTCGGCCCCTCATCAGCAGCCAAATCACAGTAAAATGATCTCATTAGTTTTGCTGTGTATGTACAGAGCCCTGCTGACGTCCCATATAAATAAAACTAATGAGTGGACATGACTTAGTAAGGCATGGCAATGGGATAATTAAGTCATGGCCACGACTTAGTAAGGTGTGGAAACGAGATCATGCCTTACTAAGTCGTGGCCACACATTAGGATCTCATTCCCACAGCCTTACTAGGTTTGGCCACAATTTAATTATCTTGTTCCCCTGCCTTACTAAGTCATGGCCATGCATTATTTTTATTTATACAGGATGTCACCAGCGGGGCTCTGTATGTTTGTGCTGTTTTGTGCCATTAAAATAAATACTTGCTATTTTAACTCCGTAAGTTATTAGCTAAAAGTTATAGCTTCACAGTTGTGATGATAGGAACCAAATATCTGAAGAGTTTAAAGCCTTAGAGCTACATTACAGAAAAGTACCCTGCAAAAAATGGCATCTTGTCATGTAAAATTATTGGTCAACAAATCTAATATTTCTCCTGTTGAGATTGTTGTAAGTTTAATTTAAGGTTATTTACCTCATTTCTAGACATTTTTACTTGCTTTCATGAATTTTATTTAGTAAAATTATCTCACTATATTGGCAGATAATTTTGCTTGTTTTAAGAAACGAGCTTGAAACCCACAAAATTATCTGCCAGTATAGTGAGATACCTTTACTTAATAAAATTAGCCAAAACAAATAGATATTGTCTGGAATTAAGCCAAACAATCTTAAAATAAGATGAGAAATATTAGATATATCGACTAGATTTAAGATCTTCTCAGTTGACAAGATACCATTTTTTGCAGTGCATTACTTGAAATGGTTATGATTTCTCTGTCTGATGTTTGATGTTCATTGTTTTATGATAGTTTTGAGAAGATTTAGGCCTTAAACGTATATTTTTAAATTCCTTTCGTGCAGCAGAGAGGTGTGCGCTGGGTGTTGTGAGACAAGATAGACAAAGAAAACTCAAATTTTACCATCATCAACTTTGCATATAAAAGCTCGGAAGACACGTGTGGGTTCACTGGTGGATAGTAAATAAAAAGGCAGGGTTGGGATAGCTACTGAAAAATACTACTTTGTAGCTACTTTCCCAAAATTTGAAGCTAACTACAATTTAGCTACTTTTCCATAAAAAGTAGCGGCAACTTTTTAGCTACTTTTTGAAAAGTAGTGCAATACGTTTTAGCTACTTTCAAAGCGCAATAGAATGTTTGTGAATCTCCACCTGACACACCAAACAAGCCCAACTGATAGTGTGAACAAGACACTGCATTTAGTCATGTGCCAGAAAGAAACATACAATTGAAAAGCTGCAAATATACAAAAAGATCACCAAAAAGTGTAACCAACAATCAAACTTACAGAACCAAAGACGTGATATCCAACAAAAAAATGAGACTAAAGGCAAAGCCAGGCTTTTCCTAACAAAAATCAACAAAAATAACTGATACAAACCAAAAATTTCTGTCAACAGTTGAAATAAAACTTCCAATTTAAACATTTCAGCAAGATCTGTACAGACATGACATTCAGAGTCGTTTATTAAAGTATTTGGGGTGAGAAACGGGTCTGAATAATCTCTCCACTGCTGCAGAGCTGCTGCGGCTCCACAGCAGAACTAGATTTTTAGGTAAAATAAAACAATCCTTCGCTGTAAAATCATTATAACACACAGTTCTGACACAGTTTTCACAATAAATGGTCTTAAACACTGGAGTTAACGCACAACTGCTAATTCACCCTTTAACGCTGAAGACTGACGCGCAGACTGCTGGACACACAACAACACAGATAACGAAAAAAGGCAAAGAGAGATTTAAGACAAACCGATAATTTGGAGATGAATGGACTTCTTTGCCTTCATAATCACTCAGCTTTTTTTTCATACCTTTAATCTGCAACAAAGTCGCAAACCTGAAGTCGCTTCTTGTTTGAATTGTCCTGTTCCACCTTAAATGTCACAGCAGTACAATCTGGCGCCTCAGGCACCATTTAAGGTGGAACGGGACAAGTCGAACGAGAAGCTGGAGAATGAGAAGCGACTTATAGCTACACACAAATTTGTAGGCACTACAGCTGTTAGCTACCTTTCATAAAACTGCGGCTACAGCTATTAGCTACAAAAATGTATAGTTAGCTACAAAAAGTAGTGCGCTACTTAGCTACTCCCCCATTCCTGTGGCTATACTTGTGTTGTAGTCATAGTGACCCCTGGTTCCTATCACCACCACTGTAAAGAAATGTGACCCATTTCAAATCACTGTAAATTATTTTGTTTACATCTTAGCAACTGAACTGTGCAGAAATCTGAAAAAATCCTTAGAATTCCCCTTTAACCCCTTAAAATCCGGATTATTACATGCGAAGGCTGATGATTCAGTAACTGTAGAAGTTATAGACGTGTGTAATAAAACGTTGGGCCTGCTGGTGCCCCTGGCCGTTTAAGGGGTTAACTCAGCAGCGTTAAAGTCACTCTCTTCTGAGTAAACCATGTTACCGTCGCCCTGGTCATTGTGTCAGCGACAGAGCTGACTGCTCTGTTTCACATCTGTTTGTTGTTGTTACTTTAATCCCTCAATTAGACTCTTCTGCTACACTGACCACAGACTGTGTTCGAGTGTGTCCTGTGTGTGAGTGAGGCTGGCCATTCGTGCTGAGGGGCATTACCTGCCCTTATTTCTCCCTCAGGATTTCCTCCTGATCCCTGACAAGGTGTTAAAAGGTGTTTAACTGATTCAACGGCCTGACCCACTGACATGACCTTCCGACCCCACTTCCTCATTTAAAGCCTCTCTCTCTCTCTCGCCCTCTCTCCCTCTCTCCCCCACTCTTTCTCAAAGACACAAGCGTAATCTGTCTCACGCTTGTAGTTTGTAAATGCAAATGTAGTTTGTGAATTGTAGTCAACCTACACACAGTTCGTCTCAGTGCTGTATTACTGAGCTGCAACTTCTACATTTGATTAATCGATCAGGCATAATATTCTGACCACCTCCTTGTTTCTATGCTCATTGTCCATTTTATCAGCTCCACTTACTATATAGGTGCACTTTGTAGTTCTACAGTTACAGACTGTAGTCCATCTGTTTCTCTGATACTTTGTTAGCCCCCGTTTACCCTGTTCTTCAGTGGTCAGGACCCCCATGGACCCTCACAGAGCAGGTACTATTTGGGTGGTGGATCATTCTCAGCACTGCAGTAACACTGATGTGGTGGTGGTGTGTTAGTGTGTGTTGCGCTGGTCTGAGTGGATCAGACACAACAGTTTGTCTGGAGTGTCTGTGAGCTGAAAGTGCAATAATTTTGATGGTGATTCATTCTATTCGTTATTATTAGTAAAATTAAATAATTAGCATAAGGCAGACATGTTTTTTATTGATTTTCTGTCCTCTTGGATTCAGGCTGAGTGCTAAAACTCTGATACACAGCAAGACAGGCTTTATTTTTAATTACAAATTGAGTCGCGTATTTAATATCAGACATTTTTAATACTCAAAAACAATGTAAACTGAAAGACATAGCTAAATATTATTCATTTTATAATCATATTTGTCATATTTATTGTTATTAAAGTGTTTTAGGGCCTGTTTGTGTGATTTTGAGGGAAACACTCATTGTGTTGAATGGGACACTGCAGTTTTATCGCCTTTTTCCGAATTACTCACTGATGCTGACATCACAGCTCGATGACGTCACACTAAGTAGTTAGGGGCGGGTCTCCTGAATGTGAATATCTGGATCATGTCTGTAGTTTAAACCGTTCTGAAGTTATGAAGACCAGACGTGACCTATCGTTTTGGGTCCTAAGGGTTAAAAGTGAAGGGTGATCCTAGAATCCTACGCCATTGTTAATCTACAAAATAGGCCTACTTAAGTATCCACAATGTTGTATTTGAAAAAAAAAAGCGTAATTATATTATGATAGAAATTCTTGGCCATACTGCTCACTACTAAACGGTTACATATTTCAGCCAATCACAGATTATAAATCTCACAACCTCAGCAGAGCGGCCACTGTCTTCTCTGTAGTAGGAGAAATGAAGGGGTTAATGTCCAGCCAGCTCAAAGTGAGTGCTGCCACTGTATGTCACACCTACGCTGATCCTCATTTCTCTGTCTGACTGGCTGTCCGTCCCTCTCTCTCTCTCTTTCTCTCTCTCTTTCTCTCCCTCCCAGCTTGACTCTGCTTGCAAACACACACACAAACACACACTTACAACTTTAACTAGGTGAAAGCTGTAGCCTGAGGCAGAAAAGTCACTCAGACTAATCCCTGCTTGCTTTGATTGACAGGCAGGGAAGGTGTTAGTGGAGTGGAGTGGTGGTGGGGGGGCAGCCTCTGAATTCCCCCGAAAGGCCACGCCCTCCGAGCGTGGGCAGGTGATTTGCATGGGCAGGAAGCCCACCATCACGCCAAAGGGTGTGACTGTTAGCTAGGAGCACTTGGAGAACGGAGAGAGGTCACGGGGCGGGGCGTCTTCCACACCTTTGAAATCTTTATCATTTTTATAGATCAGCTTCAGGACAAAAAACAACAAATGTAATGTCTTAATCAAAGTGTTGCAACAGTACACTGTGACTACAGCCAATCACAGCCTGGTTAGCCAAGAACATTATAAGACTATAAAGCTTTTTGAGCTTTTTTACAGTTACAGTGATCTTGACAGAACATGCCATCCATCAAAACTTGCATGACTGATGATAAATGAACGGTAATGGGGACCATTTGCATAAAGCTAATGGGAACTTACTGGTTTTCAGTTACAATTAGTCATTCTTGAGGGAAATGTCCATTTAAACCCTTAAACTCTTCTTTCACCAGGTTCAGATTTCCATCCCTTACTCTTGCAACTGTGCACCTTATACCTATACTGTAGGGTCATAGCAGTTTCTGGGCATTTGACCACAACTGTGTAAGAACTGCTGCAATGATCTGAAAAGAAAAATCCATTCAACCTAATGAGAAACTGTAGCATGAGGTTTAGTTTCTGTCCAAAATACCTAAAATCATTTCGTTTGCGTGTGAAAGGTCACACTGTTTGGACAGTTCAGGTGTTACACATTTGACACATCTGAGTTCCTTCATTTTTACTTCTATCTTGCAGATGTGAGTCCTGGTCTGGCTGCTCTGACCATTGGCTGTGATTCAGGTGACCTAGGCTCACTGTCCCGTGTCCAGCTCCTGCTACTGGAGCGCAGAGCGTCGGAGGAGGAGCCGGAATCCCCCCCGAGGCCGGACTGGAGCAGCCCGCTTGGGCGAAGGGCCCATTATGAGGCTGGCCTTCAAGTGTGGAGTGTGGGCATTCCCCAGCATTATCAGGCCACAGGTACAGACTGTATCATACGGTCTGCCTCGCAACACCTGCCTAGCGCAGAGGAGGACATGGGAGACTGATAGGCAGTGCGTTTGTGTCTGTGTGTGTATGTGTCTAGGCATGCACATGTTTTGTGTGTGCACTTGAACTCAAAGGCGACGTTCAGACTGCTGGTGAAATAGGCCTCAATCCGATTTGCTGCCCAAGTCTGATTTTTTTTTTGTTACACTGTAAAAATAACTCCTAAAACATACTTCATGTGCTAATAGGAAAAAAAAATAGTCTTATTCAACAAAAAAAGTACATTAATTAGAAGATTCGTTCATTCAAAGTATTTATTTAGCTTGAATAAAATTAGTTACCACTTGTAGTAATTTTTTAGGTTGAACTGACAGAGCCATTTTTACAGTGTTGGTCATTCATATTACGTTTTTAATGTTGCCTATCTTTGGCATCAGACTGACCCCTGAATTGACCTGCATGTGAAAAACAGTGCCAAAAAATAGTCCATCCAGCACGCTCAACAACAAACAGAGCCCAGCTGTCCTCTATAGTTCCTTAAGATTAATAGACTCCTTTCAAGCCACGTCTAAATGAGCTGTGCAAACCGCAGCTTTAAAATTGGACAAACAGAAGACACTACAATGACCACTCTGAACAAAGTTTACAGAAAAAAGTGAAAAGTTGTCATTTTCTGTGTTTGTTTTAATTGTGGAAGCTGAGCAAACAGAGACAGAGGCTTAGTTTCTTTCGTTTACCTGCTGTGAAGAAGAATGCTAGCAAAGAGGCACAAGCAGTGCCAAAATAGTGATATACATACCGGATAAAGTGACCTAATCTGTGTCTTATAACTGTCTTTTCAAATTATCCTTGAGGGAAATGTGATAAAGAATAGCTGTCAGTTTGATTTCTCTCATTAGAGAGCGAGAAGGACTTGAAATGTAACCATAGCTGCAGGCGTTTTGATGACGTTGCTGTAAAGGTTCTGTTCCCACATGCAAAATTACAGTGAAGCTGGAGTTGGATGGACATAAAAGTTGCATGAATTCTGATCTGACTGTTCAGATCAATGAGTTCGCATTGCTGCATATAGGATATATATCAGATTTCAGTACCAAATGTGAATGAGGCCCAAATCAGAACTGAAACAGTAAGTTCAAATGTGGTTTTTGTCGTTCACATTGTCACACAACCTCACATATGAAGAAGGGTGAACATAACGTAACAACTTATTGGTGGATAGTTTCCTAACGATCATTAGCAAGCGAAAGGTGCAACCTAACACATTTTAGTTTTTGCAAGATAATTTTTAATGCAAGCCACTACCAAATCTCTCCTTACGAATTCAAACAAACACTTAATATTTATAAACAATTTACTGTTTATGAACAATTCAGCTGAAGGTAGCAGGAGTGCAAATGTAACAGCATCATTGCACCACAGGTGGAGTTAAGTGTAACAGACTGAGAGGCAAGTACAGTTGGAACAGTTGGAAAATCAATGGAAAACGTAATTTATTGAATACAATTCTAGGTTGTTTAAACCAGAAGAACTCTAGAAACTTTAAAATAGATAGATATATTTAATATATATTCTCTAGTACTTTATGATGAACGTGTGCAGAAAACCTGCACAAAATTGATACAAATGTGTTTTTTTTTTTTTTTACCACAAAGTAGAACAGCATATATCAGCATGATAGAACTTAAACATACTATAAATATACTTTCTATGGTACTTTATGATGAATTTATGCATAAAATCTGCAAATAAATTGGTAAAAATATGTTTTTACCACAAAGTAGAACAGCAAAAAAAGAGAACTTAAATATACTACAGATATACTTTTTATAGTATATCTTGGTTATGATGAATTTGTGCATAAAACCTGCAAATAAATTGATAAAAATGATCGATTTCGATTTCGAACACTGGGGGTCTTAGTTATAACAGTGTGTCAAACTACCCCCCCCCACATGTGGAGGTTGCACTTCAACCTGGCTAGCTCACACTGTGAGTTGTTGATATGCTTTAAAATGACATTACAGACACCCAAAGAGAGATTAAAATAATACAGGAGTGAATTCTGTGATTAATACCCACAACTCAACCACTGAAAAATTCTTATGATGAAAAAAGTTGCTCGTCAGATCAATCTAAAAAAAATACTTCATGTGGTAACAAGTAAATTAACTAGTTTTATTCAACCTAAATAAAAACTTCTTTTAATTCAATGTATTTTTTTTTTTTTTTGAGTTGAACAAAACTAGTTCAATTGCTTGTGACTACATGAAGTGATTTTTTTTGGGTTGACCTGATGAGACATTCTTTACAGTGTACTAAGGTGTAAAAGCATTTTTCAGGCCGAATCTTGGTAAATATCTGCCTGACTGCTGTCAAAATTCACAGATAATGTTCCTGTGGGAATAAGAGAAGATGATCCAAAGCCTGTTCAACATTTTTACTACATAAAATATCCATGTTAGACTTTACCGTTACCATGTGCCCCGCTCTCTTCTACATACACACACACAGTGATTGCTATATAATAGTGGCTGCTCTTTCGTTGTAGTGACTATGTAGTAGTTTCTGGATAATAAGCCTTAGGATTAATAACCGGGTAACAAGCCTAGTTTCAGGGGTTAACATGGGGCAGTAAATGTGTGCGCCCTCGTGCATGGAAGGCGACCTGTATTGCGTGCGTATTTGTGCGTAATTCCAAGCAGACACATTCGGCCCCATTATCTCCTTTCTTTATCTGACCACAGATTGCTGTGTTTGCGTTCAGGACCAACACCTTGATTGCCTTTTAATAAAACTCAAAAAAAAAAAATGAACAAAAGAGATAGAGGGGGCCGACCCAGAGCGCAACCGTTGGTTGGAGCGGGCGAAAGCTTGCAATCTTTAAAGCTTAGGCGTGTGCAGAGAGGGAGAGGGTGTCGGAAAAGGGAGGGGAAAGGGGTCAACATTAATGGACAGGTGCGTCGGTCGTTGGGATGTCCTTGAAAGTAATGTCTTTACGGCGTGTGTCTGGATGTGAGGGAGTGTGCCTGAGCCGCCGACGCAGGCTTTGAACTCGGGCCGGCGTGCCTCTCATCTGCTCCAGGGCGCGCGCCGACGGGCCCTTAAACCCAGCCATAAATTTGCCCCTCCACAAAAAAACAGCCTTTATGGAGTCATGAAAAAGCCAGATTAATCGAGATGAAACGGCCCGGGGGTTTATCATTAACCCCAAACCTCAGTGCGTCCACACGCCGGCCCGTGCTTCTGCCCCCAATCAAGGTGTGATTGTGACATGAGCCTATTGTGTATTGTTCGGCATGCCGTGATCCTCGGTGATCCTCAGATAAAGAGACTACAAAGGAAGCACGGGCTGCGGCGGATTTGGAGCTTGCTCCCATCTTGATTGTGGCTGTTTTGACATGGTGTTAATGTGTCTCTAAAATCTGGCACAAACACAAACACATTCGCGCGCACAGAAGGAAGACGGAGTGGGTCCTGAGGCCCTGCTTCTCTTAAGGTGTGTTTGCGTTGGTGTGTGTGTGTGCACCTGGCACGCTTCAGGTGGACAGGTGCTGCTGCAGGTTTGTGTGGCTGCAATTCTATCAGTATTTACAGAGGGATTATGGAACTCTAGCCATGATGAATGCATGGCATAACTAGCTGTGTCTCTCTTTCCTTCTCCCCTGCTCTCTTGCACCATGCGCTATGTTAAGGTTTGCCTGCATTATCGGTGGCCTTGTATATTGTGTTGTTTAATCTGCTCTAACCAATCTGATCCAACTAAACAGCTAATTAAATGAATATGCCATCATAGGGAACAAACATACATATACACTATATGGACTAAAGTATTGGAAAACACCTCTTAATCATTGAATTCAGGTGTTTCATTCAGCCCCATTGCCACAGGTGTATAAAATCAAGCATCTAGCCATGCAGTCTGCCTTTACAAACATCAGTGAAAGAATGGATCGCTCTAAAGAGCTCACTGAATTCGAGTGTGATACTGTAATGGGATGCCACTTGTGCAACAAGTGAGTTTGTGAAATTTCTTCCCTCCTAGATGTTCCATGATCAGCTGTGAGTGGTAATACTGAAAAGTGGAAGTGTTTAGGAACCACAGCAACACAACCACAAAGTGGCAGACCACGTAAAGTTACAGAGAGGGTCGCCGAGTGCTGCAGAGCATAGTGCATAAAAGTTGCCAACGTTCTGCTGACTCACTAACTGCAGAGTAGCATGCTGCCACTGGACTCTGGAACAGTGGAAACATATTCTGTGGATTGATGAATCACACTTCTCTATCTGTCAGTCTGATGGACGAGTCTGGGTTTGGGGAATGCCAGGAGAACGTTACCTGCCTGACTGCACTGTGCCAGCTGTAAAGTTTGGTGGAGGAGGGATGATGATATGGGGCTGTTCAGGGGTTGGTCTAGAACCCTTAGTTCCAGTGAAGGGAAATCTTAATGCTTTAGCACCGAGACATTTTGGACAATTGTACACTTCCAACTTTGTGTGAACAGTTTGGGGAAGAACCTTTTCTGTTCCAGCATGACTGAGCCCCAGAGCTCCATAAAGTCATGACTGGGTGAGTTTGGTGTGGAAGAACTTGACCTGCCCTCACAGAGCCCTGACCTCAGCCCCATCAAACACCTTTGGGATGAACGAGAACGGAGATTGAGAGTCGTCCAACATCAGTGTCTGACCTCACAAATGCTCTTCTGGATGAATGGACAAATATTCGCACTTACACTCTCCAAAATCTGTAGAAAGCTTCCCAGAAGAGTGGAAGCTGTTCCAGCTGCGAAGGGGGACCAACTTCATATTAACGCCTATGGATTTAGAATGGGGTTCATAAAAGCTCCTGTAGGTGTAATGTGTAGGTGTCCCAATACTTTTGTCCATATAGTGTGCCTTTTGTATGTAAATTTTAGTGCTGATTTGAACATATATACATAAAAGATGCATTTCACTGTACCTACATAAACAATCCAAGAGAAGCTGAGCAGATTTTGGCAAATTCTTTTGACCGATAACTGTCCGATCATTAGTCGGCAACTAATTATTAGCCTAAAATCAAAGATGCCAATCATCAAAATACCAATTAGAAAATGGTTGGTTCTGGTTCTCAAATCTGAGCCTGATATACATACACACACATCAATAGAGTTCTGTATTAAAGCACTGAGATATTTAAGTGTCCCTTGTATGGATTGTGTATTATATGTATATGAAGTAAATGTCCCAAAACAATATTAGACATACCCTCTGTAAAAACCCGGTTTTACAACCCCATTGCCAGAAAAGTTGGGACGCTGTGCAAAATGTAAATGAAAACAATATTTATTTGAAAATAGTACAAAGACAACAAATGTTGAAATTGAGAAATTTTATTGTTTTTTGAAAAATATATGCCCATTTTGAATTTGATGGCAGCAACACATTCCAAAAAAAGTTGGGATGGGGCAACAGAAGGCTGGTAAAATTGTGTAATACTAAAAAACATGTGAAGGTTAATTGGCAACAGGTCAGTAACATCACTGGGTAGAAAAAGAGCCTCTAAGGGAGGCTGAGTCTTTCAGAAGTAAGCAACAATTCAAGAATAATATTTCTAAATGTAAACTAGCAAAGAACTTGGGGACTTCATTATCTACAGTACATAACATCATTAAAAGATTTAGACAGTCTGGAGAAATCTCTGTATGCAAGGGACAAGGCCAAAAACCAGTATTGGCTAGCCAAGATTTTTGGGCCCTCAGGTGGCACTGCCTTAAAAACAGGTACGATTCTGTAGAGGAAATCACTGCATGGGCTCCAGAACACTTCTGAAATCCGCTGTCTGTGAACTCATCATCACTGTATCCACAAATGCAAGTTAAAACTCTACTATGCTAAGAAGAAATCCAAAAAGGACCCAGAAACCCTGCCGCCTTCTCTGGGCCCAAGCTCATTTAAAATGGACTGAGGGGAAGTATAAACATGTAAGATTTGAAATCATGGACACTGTGTCCTCCGGGCTAAAGAACAGTTCAAAAGCCAGTATTCATGATGTTATAGGGGGGCGTTAGTGCACATGGCACGGGTGACTGGCACATCTGTGAAGGCACCATTAATGCTGAATGATATATACAGGTTTTGGCAACATATGCTGCCATCCAGACGACGTCTTTTTCAGGGAAGGCCTTGATTATTTCAGCAAGACAATGTCAAACCACATTCTGCATGTAATACAGCAGCATTTCTCTGTATTAAAAGAGTCCGGGTGCTAAACTGACCTGCCTGCAGTCCAGATCTGTCACCCACTGAAAACATTTGGCACTTTAAGAAACAAGAGACCCCAAACTGTTGAGCAGCTGAAATCATATATCAAGCAAGAATGGGAAAACACTTCACTTTCAAAACTACAGCAGTGTCTCCTCAGTTCCCAAACACTTACAGAGTGTTGTTAAAAGAAGAGGTGATGAAACACAGTGGTAAACATGACCCCGTCCCAACTTTTTTGGAATGGGTTCTCGAAATCAAATTCAAAATGAGCATATAAAAAAAGCAATAAAATTTCTCGCTTTCAACATTTGATATGTTGTCTTAAATATAGGGTGTAAATGATTTGCACTTTTGTTTTCATATACATTTTGCACAGTGTCCCAACTTTTTTTGGAAATGGGGTTGTATTTAAACCAAGAGTTTAACAGTTTGTCTTATCACTTGAGAATGTTTCAAGATGGTACATTTTAGGAATCGTAGGAAACACGTTTTCTGCATTTAACAGAAGGTTTTTGCAGAAGATCAGTATCTGCAGATGTAAGACATGCTGGAACATGAACAGACAGACACTCTGTGATGTAAGCGGTACTTTAAGGTCATTTAGAGCCTTAAAAACTAGTAGCAGAACTTTAAAGTCTATCCTGAACGATACAGACAGCCAGTGCAGCTCTTTTAAAGCGGGACTGATCTGATCTCTCTGTGTCGATTTGTTAGGATGCTACTGCGTTTTGTACGAGTTGTAAAGGATGTATTGTTGTCTTAGGAAGTTCAGTAAGAAGACCATTACAGTGATCAACTCTACTTGTAGCAAATGCATGAATAAGTTTCTCTGCGTCGCTCTGAGATAGAAAAGGCCGAACGAATGATAAACCTGCCTGTTCAAATAGGAACTGTTTTTACTGGAAATGAAACAAAATTTAATTAGCCTTTTTTAAATGATAGCGTTGATTAAGAAATCATTTACTGGTTGTTCAGTTTTTACTTCTTTTACTAAATACTAGGCACAGTGTGCAAATATCCACTGTCATTCGGGGGTCCCATGTTGGCTGGCTCCTCCAGCATTGGCTGGCTGCTAACTCACTTGCCATAGCCATGTTAATGCTAGCTTCAGTGGCGACAAAACATTTGATTTAGCAATTTTATTTCAGCAATCTGGTCTTCCACACATTAACAGAGATCTTATGTATTTCTTTTGTCTTCAGTAGTAACAATTCACTTTTTTCACCAGTGTCTTGGGAAATTGGGCTACTTTTCAGATTTGCCAATATGGGATATTGTAAAGTTTTTCAGAGGTATCCTAGACATAGTTACAGTTGCTAGACTAAGAAGAACCAACTGGGTGAACCAGTCTACAATTGCTAGACTAAGAAGGACCAACTGGGTGAACCAGTCTGCTACAGCACCACCTTGAGGCAAAGCACAGCTACATCTCTAGTTAGTTAAGAACACCAAAGTCAGTATTTGCCGATTGTGGGTGAAGCAGCTAAACAAAACCCATTCCCTGAATTTGTGTTTGAGTGTCTATTTTTCCCTTATGGACAGCATAACGTCATAAGTTTATTTTCAGGGACCCCCAAGAGTTTTGATTTTGAGACATTCACGTGGTCTAAGAGGTTAATTAGGACCCCCCAGGACCCCCTGTGTTTCACATCTTGTCTAGGGACATGTATTTCAACTAATTTTGATATTCAAACATCCACAAGAGTTAACCCTTAGAAACCTAAAATTTCAGAGATTTTTTTTTGGCATTTTTTGGGTCAATTACAATTGCAATTATAAAGTATTTACATGTGATAGCCACACATGCCATATGCTGTTATTTTCAGGAGACCCTGGGCTACTCAGATATGCTATTTTCTGACATGTGAATCCTAACAGACATTTGATATCTTTATGAATTTGGGTCATTTCTGAACCGAAATGTACCGAGCGCCTGCAAAATGTTGTATTTTTTAATTATAGAGATCTTGAAAACAAGTGCAGTTGTAGTTATCTTTTCAGAAATTGTTCGTCTGGAGTGTCTGTGAGCTGAAAGTACAATAATTTTGATGATTCATGCTCTTAATTACAAATTGAGTTTCATATTTAATATCAGATCATTTTTAATACTCAAAATCAATGTAACCTGAAAGCCCTTTGTTTATAATATGAAGGCTCAAAGCAGAGATGTAATATAACAGTAGTCAGTGGGGTTGTGGGTGATTTCGGAGCTGGGTCTCCGGCTGACGGATGGTCACAGGTGGATGAAATCACTCTGGATGGTGAGGTCAGAGTCTGATGAGTGATCTGATCTTTGAATCATGTTGCTGGTTTAAACCCTTTGCTGGAATATGAAGGTCAAACAGCAGAGCAATAATATCAGGATTTTAGGTGATTTTCCGAGCCTAATTACTCACTGATGCTGACGTCACAGCTCGATGATGTGCTCATGCTTGCTAGTTAGGGGCGGGTCTGCTGAATGTCCTGATATGTGGATCATGTTTGTATCTTAAACCGTTCTGAAGTTATGAAGGCTAGAAGTGAGGAGATAGCTCTGCAAGATCTGTAGTTTTGTGTTGGATGACTAGCAAAGGCTGCTTATTCAGATAAGTGGCACAACACTTGTGAGGCCTCGTTGTCTTACGTAGGGTATTTTCTCCTCTGTCATCATATGCCAACATGTTAGTGCGCCAGAAAAAATAAAACACTGCTTCTGGAACTTACTTAACACCAGCTAGAGTAGCTAGCCTAGTTATAAAGCCACACTACATCTGCCTTCATCATATCCTTAGCAATGCGTCCTCAACCACAGGCTCACGTTAAGACACTTGTGTTTCAGAGTGTCTTGTTAAACGTGGCGTCTGCGAGTCTGTATGTTTTCTATGTCTTCCTCTGATGAAATGAATACCCTAATAGTGATTTCAGTATTTAAATTCTCGAAAGGTTAACTGAGTACTTGAGTACTCGTGCACCTTACTTAGTAAGGGGAACTAAGTAGGGATGTGCACAGGGAAACGCCAAAACATTCTGCCATAAAATGTAAAATTACTGACCCTACAAATCGATTATATGTATCGCTGCTGTTGGAACAAAACCTCATATCTCCTTTATATTTGTTTTTCAGTTTCTGACATAATTTGAAAATGCCTGTTGCCCTTTTTACTATGTGTAAACGTCATGATGAATGGACCAAAAGAAACGGCCCAAAAGTGCTTGGAAAAAATTCTGGTTCCACTGACTTTCATTATAAGTAAAGCATATTTCTGCTTCTCCTGTAAAGTTACCATTTTGGAGATACAAGGTTTTGTTCCAACAGCAGCGATGTGTTTATGTAATTGTCATATATTTACTTATATTAATATATGTAGGGCAGGGATGCTCCAGAACCTGAGTTGGGAACTGCTGACCTGTTTTAAATGTGCTGTGTTTGCAGAAACGTACACACCAGTAAGCTGGATTGACAGAAGTATGTCGCCAAGGCGTGGCACAGTCGGTGGAGAGGGCAGCCAGAGTGGAAGTCCAGTGGTAACAAGCTCCCAACACCAGCACAGAGCCCATCCACTCCCCAACACACACACCCACACACACACATACACACATACACATACACACACACACACACACACACACACACATACACATACACAAAGGGGAAAGGAATCTATTAGTAAACACAACTTTATGGCTGTCATCCTTGCAAGCCTAACTGATTGGGAGTGAATGGGGATTTCTGCACGCTGCCCAGCAGCAGGTGTGTGTGGTTAATCAGTCATTGGGCGGGTGGTTGGAAAGGGGGTGGGGTGTGAGGCAGGAGGGTGAAGCTGCTATAGAGGAGTTCCAAGAGGGGAGAAGTCAGGCTCTTAGTCCTCTACAGCTCCAGTCACATCCACTCTCTCCACTCTGAGGTGGCTAATTCTTTGCTTTTAGAGGATGTGCTGTTGTGTGGATTAAGGCAGGGTCAAAGGGCAAGGCTCCGGGGGTAAACGGTAGCAGCGAGTGGTAGGACTCGCCGCAATAGATGCAGGTGCACAAGGATATTAGGGGGTTATTGATCTTGGTCTTTTATGAAGAAAGTGGGAGAGAATTTGTCAGGAAAAATGAACGTGTTATAAGCCGCTGTCATGTGTGCTCGGTCACAATAGAGGCTCCTGGGGGCCGATTATGAAGGGAACAAGAGGCAGTATTCACTTACTGCATCATGCAGAGTTCATATTGAGCTGAACTATTGAACAGACATGCACACACACACACACACACACACACACCCCAAATTGCTTTTGTGCATATATATGTGTAAATATATATAACTGTGTAATGTTTAAGTATATATACATTGCTGCTGTTGGAACAAAACCTTGTATCTCCAAAATGGTAACTTTACAGAAGAAGGAAAAAATATACTTTAATTCTGATGTAAGTCAATGGAACCAGACATGTTTCCAAGTAATTTTGGGGTGTTTATTTTGGTCCATTCACTATGAAATTTACACACAGTATAAACGGCAACAGGCATTTTCAAATTATGTCAAAAACTGAAAAACAGTAAAAATGCATATATTTATATATATATATATATATATATATATATATGGTCACTGTCCAAAGAAAAAGTATCTCCAAAATAGTAACTTTACAGGAGAGAGCAAAACACTCTTACCTTTCAATGTAAGTTAATGTAATGATTTTTTATTCCAAGTTATTTTAGAGCATTTCTATTGGTCCATTCATCATGAAATTTTCACAGAACATAAAGGACAGCTGGTTCATTGAAATAATGTAGAAAAATAAAAATCGACAAATACATGGTTTTCATTGGACAGTGACTATATGTAAATATATATATATATATATATATATATATATATATATATATATCATCACTGTCCAAAGAAAAACAAGTATCTCCAAAATTACAACTTTACAGGAGAGGGTAAAATATTCTTTGCTTTAATTGTAAGTCAATGTAAAGATATTTTATTCGAAGAAATTTTGGAGCATTTCTATTGGTCCAATCATTTTGAAATGTTTACACAATGTGAAAGCCAGCTGCTGAGCTCTAATTATGAAGAAAACTGAAAATTGCAAAAAAATGGAGAAAATGGAGGTTTTGTTTGGACAGCAATGACATGTTAGTGCTGCCCCCCCCCCTTCAGGTGCTGAAGACTGGTGGGTGGATACTTACGCTGAGCATTAGAGCTCATCCACATATGTTTGCATGCTCGTGCGCACACAAGTGTTACTATTAATGTGTCTTTGTATCCAAAGCACACCTACGCTGAAGACATCTCCAGATCTTCTCCCTCCTGGTCTCTCAGCTCGAGTGTTGACACTGACAGCTGTGTTTCAAGGGAGAGTGACACTTCTGAGAAAAAAGGTATCTCTTCATACATTATAGCAATAACTTGGCAAACAATTCACACAGCCCCCCTCCCCAATTAGCTCAAATGTCAATCAATCAAGACACATTTGGTGTCAGAAGGTTATTTGGTAACACTTTCTATGAATGTCACGTTTGTAAGCATCTACATACACATTCATAACCTGTTATAATGCATTCATAAGGCATCATAAACATGGCTATAAATATTTATAAAATGCATTACACGTTATAGCCATGCTTATTATACATTATGAATTGTTAACATAATGTATTGTAAGTACTGTTCATAACAAATTATAAGAGCTCATAAGTCGTATTAGTCCGCTCTAAGTAAAGTGAAGCGTACTGTACTAAAGCCTCCTCCAGTGTTCAGAGTGAGGCTTCAAGTTGAAGTATTTACTGAAGGATTTACTGAAACACTAAAACATACACAGTAAAGCACATTACAGGCTTCAAATGTCAGAGTTTAAACTAGAGCTGCCCTCAGTGTTTTACCCAATGTGGGAAAGGTAATGTACACCACCGTTAGCTTGGCACTAACTTAACACTGCATATCCAATAGAATGCTAGCAGAAATTAGCATTGCTGTAGTGTAGTTTTGTTACAGAGTGAAGGGTTCTAGAGCTTGACATTAGAACCAGTGAGGGAACAAATTACAGTGACAGCACTCTACTATCAAATATAACATGTTATTAAGACTACTTATAATGCATTATGTTAACAATTCATAATGTATAATAAACATGGCTATAAAGTGTAATTCAGTGTAATCCATTTTTATAAATATTCATAACCATGTTTATAATGCCTTATGGATGCATTAGAACGTTATGAATGTGTATATAGACGCTTAAAAATGTGACATTCCTAGAAAGTGTTACTGTTTATTTATTTAATTTTGCACTGGTGTTACGAGGCTAGAGTAACTTAAAAGTAGCTAATGCAGCTAACAAGTAAGAGCAGCGTATATCCCACCAATTAGCATCATGCTAACTGTATGCCTAAATCAACCCACACTTGCCTCAAACCATGTGGAGTTGTTATGTAGGCTTGAATAGATCTGCTTATGTCATTTCAGAGACTGTATGATGTTTAGCTATCCATAAAAGTGGACAAAAGTGTGTCACATAGCCAAAAACTGTGGTTGGAGCCTGAATCTGTGCTTATATTTTCACTATGTTAATTGATTGTGTACATTCTTCCTTTATTTGTTAGCTATGCTAGCCGTGTAGTACTGGTACAAAATTAAAGAAGCGAACCTCAGACCAGGGGAAAGGCCAGAGGTGGGAGGTGCCATGCTAGCATGAAGCATGACCACCCTTCTGGTCAATCCTGTTAATCAAACTGTTGGTCAGCTATAATCGTTTGTCATGTCAGCTAATTACTGCTTACAGCTAAGTACGTCTGTGATGCATTATAGCCATCAGCAGGACTTACCCTGTGTGTCTACTTTGTGGAGTTTCAGCGAAGATTCAGTCAGTAATCCAGTTCAGAAACCACAGTTCAGATCTTGCATTTACATCCAATTAAATGCCCTATTTAAAGGTCTCACAGCAGCACATGTATGATCTAGAACTCTCCCTCGTGTCCCAAACAGTCCTCTGATTGACTCAGACTCTGAGTTTAGTGCTGATAATCAGAAATTTAATAATAATAATTTAATAATGGCACAAAATGCAGTCACACTTACAGAAATGAGGCAACACGCTAACCATGCGGCCTGTGCGTGCTGTCTGAGCTAAGAGAGTGGGGGAGGGGCGGGAAAGACAGGAAAAAGGCAACAAATGGCCTTGTCCCATTCCCCATTGAGTGCACTTCCCCTCAAAATCACACAAACAGGCCCTAAACCACATTTTAACAGATACATAACAATAAATGTTATGCATATTATTATGCAATTAATATTTAGCAATCCAGACTAACAATTTCTGAAAAGGTATTTAAGATGCCACTTGTTTTCAAGATCTCTATAAGCAAAATTGTATAAAAGTTTGCAGGCGCTAGGTAAATTTTTGATCAAAAATTAGCCAAATTCATAAAGATATCAAAATTCTGTTAGCATTTACATGTCAAATAATGGCATATCTGAGAAGCCCAGGGTCTCCTGAAAATAACAACATATTGCATGTGTGACCGTCACATAAAAATACTTTATAATCTTTGCAGTTGTAGTTGTAATTGACCCAAAATACCAAACAATTACCTCAAATTACCCCAGGCTTCTAAGGGTTAATGATTCATTCGAGGCAAATATAGTGCTAAGTATAAGTTAATGCTAATGCTACAGTAAGATAGCCTCTCGTGATGTTACCGTACACTGTGTCGTCTGGCTTTCTTCATTACCGTTAGACTTATTTTACCTAAAGTTAACATAGCACACCAAAAACAAAGAGACGCATTGAATTGAATATGTTACATCAAAACAATATTCTCTTTCAGTTTACTTACTTTTGGCAATAATTGTGTTAATGCCACATATTTTATTCATTAGAAAATTATATACATATTCTATTTTGTGCAGAATTCAATGCATCACTGTTTTTTTTTTACATTATGTTGACCTTATATAAACACAAACAAGCATTTGTTTCTATATAGATCACCTTCCACTGTGAGACAATCCCCTGTTAATGCCTTTCAGTCATTACAAGATCAACAGTGAGCCTCATTAATGGGTTGAAAACATTAGAGAGTTTCATTACGGGCTAACAAGTTGTTTCTAAATGATCTGTTCATAAGTCCGAAGTGGCCGAGCTCTTTTTGCAAATTAGTCAGAATGCGACCAACATGGGGTTGTTTTTACGAATGCCACACGCAAAGAGACCACACAGGAAAGGGTGATCTTGCAAGTTCAAACATCTTTAGCTTGTATTAACAGCAACAATAGCCAACTCTGGAAAAGAAAAGCCCCATTACAAATCTAGATCTGGGCCATTTAGGATATTACAAAAAGGGCCCTGCCAATCAGAGAGGGTTCTGCTACCTGCTAGGCACTAACACAAAGAAGACCTTAACAATTGGTACCCCAGCAGGGACCAGCCTTATTTGCCGAACTGCTTCCAGCTTTGCTGAATTGGGTTATTAATGTCTTCAAAAATTTCCCAATAAATTGTTATATGATGCATGCTTGATTGATGGAGACACGTGGCATTAATGTAGGATATCACATCATCTGAAGTTCACTTATGCTCATGTGTGAGAAGTAAATCAATAAACGAACAACCCACTGCACTCAAAAATGTGTTTTTAATGGTTAACTCCTCTTGGATGGCTTACTATGGTTATATAGGCTTTTTTTAACCTCTTCAACTCTTTGAGACCATCGATGGTTCCAAAACGCATTTCGTCATTTTCTTCATAACTTTCATATTTCATAAGCTACATTCAGAAGGTGGGGGTCGTATGAGAGCTGTAACTGTCTTCTTTCCAGTCAAATAGATGGGTGATGCAATTTTAAACCCTTATAATAAAAGAAGCTGAACTCACAATTTTTTTTCTACTGAAAGTCGACCCATTTTTCCACAAATCTGGGCTATAAACTATAAACAGATGGCGTCTCTTCAGTGATCTGCTCTGTAAAAATTATTTTTATAAAAAAATACAAAGAGCGTCTAAGATTTTTGGCTTTCAGCAGTAAATTGTAAGCATATAGCAATATGTGTGATCATAAAACACGTTCTGTTAATTTGAGGGGAGCTCTTACAAAATAAATAAATAAATAAAATAAAAATTTAATTTTTTTTTTATGCAGTTACTGAATAATTTGCTTTACGATTTGGTCATGTAAATTCAGATGGACAAACCAAAATATACCCTGGAGAATAAGAGGTTAATCAAATGTGTTACTGTGGCACAGAGTTCATTTCATTTTTCCATTGAAACAAAGGCTTTCTGAGTTCATCCAAATAAAGCGATATATGGGACTCTGTGTAGCAGCTCAGTGTTGTACACCAGAAATGAGCTTGAACCTATCATAGTCAAACATACTGAAATATCGCTGCTGTCGGAAGAAAACCTCAGCTTTTGATGTATTTTGAAAATGCCTGTTGTTCTTTACATTGTTTGTAAATTTCATGATGAATGGACCAGAACAAACGGCCCAAAATGACTTAGAAAAACATCTGGTTCCATTGACTTACATTAAAAGTAAAGTATGTTTTTTCCGTCTCCTGTAAAGTTACCATTTTGGAGATACGAGGTTTTCTTCCGACAACAGTGATATGCTAATGAGCCATGAGTCTGATTTGTTTTGCATGCTTAAATGATGGAGACAAGTTTCATTGCTTCACTTTTCCTACTGAATATCATAGCATATCAGCTTAGCTAAAAACTGATACACATCTTGGTCTAGTAATCTTGCATTTCATTATAACATAACAACCATACATTACTAAAATAAACACTTTGCTAATAATCCACATCTACAAGGCACTTTCTCAACAACTTCGATGAATTTGGGACACTTTGATGCTTGTCATTTCAAGAGTTCACAGTAACTCCCAGGTCACTGAGTAATAGGCCCCTGAACACAAATATTTGGAGGGCCCCAAACCTGGCTGCAAATTTTGTTGGTCAGGGAATTTTTTATGATATCATAGTAGGTTACGCGTGGGCTCCACAGCACAGCACCATGATGACTACTAACTACAGTGTGGTTTTTTTTTTTTTTGCTGTTTTGTTTTGTTTTGTTTTGTTTTTTCATTTTGGCCATACTGTATAGCTTGGGGGCTTCTGGTATACAAAAACTGAAATCAGGTTGCCTAAGCGGTCCTAGAAACAAACCTCTTGAATTAAATATTTCCAAAAAGTGTGATAGTCTAATGTAAGGTTAAATTACTCTTATTATGTGTTGTTGTTTAGAAGGCACTGTGTGGCCTGCCCTGGTCACATAAAGACAATAGCAAGTTGCCAAACAATACAACCCTAACGCACTGTGTCCCGCAATGACCTGATGAGATTATAGCCTGTCACTGTCAGCAGTGCAGTCATCATCCTACATATTCCAACAAAACAATAGCAAGTTTAACCCTTGTGTGGTGTTGATGTGTTTGTTACTCAGTGGTCTGGTGGACCCACCACATTATTGATTTATTAAATCAATACAGCCATAACAATTTAATAAAAATACTAAATGCTTTAAAATATATAAGTGTCCAGCGTAGGGTTCTCCTTTAGCAGCTGTAGCCAGTCAGCAGCCTGTCCATGTTGTCCAGCCTCACACACACACATATACAAACACATACACACACAGACACACACACACTAACAGCAGGCCATGTAGGAGGAGAACAGAGTGAAGGACACAGTACCTCCACACTTTTACTCCCGCGGGTTCAGCCCAACACCACATGTGTAATATAGATGTGTGGGGGGTGAACAGAGTGAAGACACTGAAAATGGGTTATTTTATATGTTCTTCACAGAAAATGAGCAAAGGACAAGAATCTGAGGTTGAAATAATAATAAATCATATCATTTTGTCTTTTGGTAAACACTGAAAATGGCCCACAGACCTGAACACCACACAAGGGTTACATATAGCATGTTAACATTAACCCAACAAACGATGCAACACTTCCTTATAAAGCATGCTTCCACTTACTCTTCTAACAGTTCAGACGTACAAAGAAAAAAACAAAGCAAGCCAAATCATACCACCACAGCGGGCATGGACGATGTTTATGGACCATCATTTGTATTAGGGATGGGCAATATGATCATATTGGATTGTCATTGTGATATATCACCTCGCAATGTGCTTTTCTGAGCATATCATAGAGACCTTCAATGTAAATGGGCATCCTTTACTTTATAAAAGCAGTTGTAGTATTTTGTCGTCTATGATTCAGCCATAAAACTGTAATTAATCTAGAAACAAAGAACAGAATTGTGAATGTTACATAGACTTTACCATCTGAGAGTTTGTGGCTGCTTAACCTGATCCCCTCTTCTCCAAAGCCATTTTGCCTGAGGCCGTTTGAAAAGTCCCGTTTCGCCTGCTAAACGAAAGCCAAGAAATGTTTTTACTCATGTGTTTTTCCCGAGACATGAAGCCATTTTTTTCTGATGTGTAAAACCCATAAAATGTACACTTTATCTCAGGGGTGGCTCTTTGCACAGTCATGACAGCCGTCTACAACACATTTAACCAGCGGCTGCTGTCGGAAGAAAACCTTGTATCTCCATTTTTGTCGTTTTTCAGTTTTTGAAATATTTTGAAAACGCCTGTTGCTCTTTATATTGTGTGTAAATTTCATGAAGAATGGACCTAAAGAAACAGCCCAAAATGACTTGGAAAAACGTCTGGTTCCATTGACTTACATTAAAAGTAAAGTAGGTTTTTTCCTTCTCCTGTAAAGTTACCATTTTGGAGATACGAGGTTTTCTTCCGACAACAGCGATATGCTAATAAGCCATGAGCCTTATTTGTTTTTCTTGAGGCCAGCGCCTGAGCCGTAAGTGCAACCGCAAACCACGAGTAGCCTCAGCCCTCAAGTCCTCACAGCAACACCACTGGGCTTGAACATGAGGTGAGCCGCTAGACGTTAGCATCAGAAGCTAATGTTAGCTTAGCGAGCAGACCTGAACAGCTTTACATACAAACACACAGGTTCCTCTCATTAAAGCCTCACTGATTCAGGTTTAGAGGATAAAGACTAAAATCTAAGTGGTTCAAAGTTTATTATGCTACTTTTAATTCATATCCTTAACAGAGAGGCTAATGTTACCTTAGCAAGAAGGATAACCACCAGTAGTTCCGGCTCAATGATGCATAAATACTCAAATCTAAGTGAAACTGAAGGATCAGTGACGGAGAGTGTATATAAAGACAGAATCTTTCTGATTATTAAAGTTACAACGGGAGCTTGTTTCTGTTTCTGTTCTGCCTCATAAGTTCAAACACAGGCCTCTTTTCCACTGAAGAGTCAAATGGTTCCCAGGGCCGTCTTGCGCCGTTCCACACTGGTGCAGACTTGTGAGACCGGTTACGGATTCTTTTTCCAAGTGCTGTGCCATGAATTTCTTTTTTGTTTTCAGTTTTCTTGTTTGATTTTGTTTGATTTCACGGTTAATTCACTCATGTAGTTTAAACTGAATAAATTCCTTTTTTGATCCCTTTGCATTGTAAAAATAGATAGAACCATGAGCACTCAAAGAACGATTTTCATGCTTAAATTGTTCTTTAAAATTAAATTAAATTGTTCTTCAGATTGATGGAGATTCTGCTGTATATGATTCTGTGTAGAACTTTTCAAAAAATGGTTCTATGTAGTACCAAAAGGGGTTGTTCTATTGTATACAAGCTTGACATTGTAACAATAGTGGAACCCATATATCTTAATACAGCAGTGTTTAATGCAAACTTCTTCACTTTAAAAGTACTTTTTGCTCAGCAAATTTCCACCAACACAAAAATGCTAATTTCTATTTGTGCTTCTGTGTGATTTAAAGTCTTATATTAGCACCAAGCTAATGGGACTGTTTGAGATGCAGCCTGGGTTTAAGGCTACTAAAGCTGAACTAAAACACTGAGGTTTGAAGCTTGTGAGACGTTCAATTGACTAAAATTTTATGTTTTATGTTGCAGTTTTACAGTGAATCATACAAAAAGTACCTTAATTGAAAGCATTTATTATTAATAATGGAGACGTTTAGCCTATTAGCCAGTTAATCGGCCTGGTTTTAGTTAAGAAAATAAGTTGTCTACCCCTCAGTTTAAACAAAACGTATATATATATGTTTTATGGTGTTTACTGATTAGGCATAACATTATGACCACCTCCTTGTTTCTACACTCATTGTCCATTTTATCAGCTCCACTTACTATATAGGTGCACTTTGTAGTTCTACAGTTACAGACTGTAGTCCATCTGTTTCTCTGCATACTTTGTTAGCCCCCTTTTACCCTGTTCTTCAGTGGTCAGGACCACCATGGACCCTCACAGAGCAGGTACTATTTGGGTGGTGGATCATTCTTAGCACTGCAGTAACACTGATGTGGTGGTGGTGTGTTAGTGTGTGTTGTGCTGGTTTGAGTGGATCAGACACAGCAGTGCTGCTGGAGTTTTTAAACACTGTGTCCACTCACTGTCCACTCTATTAGACACTCCTACCTTGTCAGTCCACCTTGTAGATGTAAAGTCAGAGACGATAGCTCATCTGCTGCTGCACAGTTTGTGTTGGTCATCCTCTAGTCCTTCATCAGTGGTCACAGGACGCTGCCCACAGGACGCTGTTGGCTGGATATTTTTGGTTGGTGGACTATTCTCAGACCAGCAGTGACACTGAGGTGTTTAAAAACTCCAGCAGCACTGCTGTGTCTGATCCACTCAGACCAGCGCAACACACACTAACACACCGCCACCACTTCAGTGTTACTGCAGTGCTGAGAATGATCCACCACCCAAATAGTACCTGCTCTGTGAGGGTCCATGGGGGTCCTGACCACGGAACAGGGTAAAGGGGGGCTAACAAAGTATGCAGAGAAACAGATGGACTACAGTCTGTAACTGTAGAACTACAAAGTGCACCTATATAGTAAGTGGAGCTGATAAAATGGACAATGAGCGTAGAAACAAGGAGGTGGTCATAATGTTATGCCTGATCGGTATATATATATATATATATATATATATATATATATATATATATATATAATATAAGAGGGTGTTTACAATTTGCATAACTGTGCATATTCACAGATCTTCACATTCTTAATGAGTGGTTTCGGGACGCTTCTATGCCACTTTTAGACTTTCTTGTGCATTGCAGTAATACATAAACATGGTTAACAGTTCATTATTCAAAATAGATTATTTTTAGCTTTTAATTTATGACTTCAGGGTGCTATAAACCATTAGTAAACAAGTGGGCACGTGCCCATAAACCTTGGAATGGTTCAGGTCTGCCCGTGGTGCCCAGAGTGATGGTGCAGTTCCTCACCTGTCTTGCAGTCTCCTCACTGTCAGGGCAGTGTTTGGTGTCTCTCTGCCTCCGGTACACTTAAGCCCCATAATCCCCACTGACAGCCTCCTGCCCACTGCCAGCTCCTTCTTCGCCTGTGTGGCCATCTTGTGTACATAAATGAAGTAATGGCTCCCAGGTAGCAAGCTGGAGGCAGGCCAAACTGGCTTTAAAGGGGACAGAAGGATCACTTGTCTTGTCGTTTGCTCGTCCACAGCTACAGATACTCCTCTCTCAGTGGTACATTCTTATTCCATCTTTTATTGGACGTAGTTTTCTCTGCTTGACATTTGTTTAACCTGGACATGAAGTGAAGCGCAGAGTGGATGGCTAGCATCAGTCATTCTGCTGTGGGCTTAATGTCCCATGCAAGCTTAGACAACCGTCCTACCTCCATTAGATGCCCAGGTTTGCACATCTGTAATGTATGGCCAGCCTTGTGGAACAAGGACACAAGGACATCTTAGCATTTAGCTTTCCTCTTCTTCTTTATTGATGCGTCCACAGTAAAACTGCACTTATTTCAGATGTTTTGTGTTCACCTCTAGGCTGGGAAGAGTCGGAAGGGAACGATCTCATCTGTGAGAGCCCTCTGGACCTGAGCGCTGAGCCAGCAGGTGAGTGGCATTTGTCTATGGAGCTTATGCTGCGGCAGTCACCTCCAGTGAGGTGTTATTGGAGAGTGGCTTTTTAAACACTTTGCATTTTATGAGCCAAGCTGTATCCACAACAGTTCGCTACTCTTTGTCTGAAGAAACAGACCAGAACAAAAAAGCTAAAATCAGGGAGGCGTTTATCGCAAGAAGGCCAAATAGAAGCATTTCGCCTCAAAAGACATGTCAGCCATGTAACCCTGGTGACACTGTGTACGCTTTGGCACAATGACCCTCCCGGAGGCCAAAGACGTGGTCAGTATGGGGTCAGCGTGAGGTCACGTCAGGAACCATTGGGCATTGAAGAGGCCCTGATGCATCCAGAATGCTGGACATGAGATTAGAGGAAGAGCAGGGCAGTCTGTGTGGATTAGCGCTGATGATGGGAATGAAGATATTGAGCTGTGCCTTCTGTGAGCCAACAGCTCAATCTGCATGTGACACATTTGACTCAAAAGCCAAAAGGAAACAGTGAGTCACTGCAAACTGAGTTACAAACCTCAAACCACAAACAGTCAGACCCTTTTTTAGATCTAAAGGTCATGTGCTCTTAAAAGTAAAAGTGCCTTTTCAGAGTGATACTGCGGAAGAACCACTTAGTCTCCCAAAATAACCTCTCATTTTTGTAAATGAGGCAAATCCAATTTAGAGAACCTGAACAGTATGTCAAGGTTCCCTTCCAGTTACTTATTTAATTTTTTAACAGAGCTTTACTTAGGAACCTTTGTTTTTAAGGGTTCATATCAACAAAAAACAACATTTTCTTGCAATTTTGGAATAAAAGTAACATGCAAGTGTTGTTAAAATGTCAAAAAATCTACCAGTCCATCACATCTACATATAAAAACTGATCTGCAAACACTTAGTTTTGTCTTAGTTAATAAACTGTTTTTGTGATGTCATGAAAACCAGGACATCTTCAAATATCTGCCTATTCAGCTTACTTCAGTTTGGCTCCACCCACTCACACCAAAGTTATATGGAGTGTTTCAGCCCGGACTGCTTTTTGAATGAGGCACAGTACAGGGCAGCCAATCAAACGAGAGGTCATTTGCATGTATCAGTCTTAAAGGCTCAGTGTGTTTAATTGTACAGGGTAAAGAGAGGTTGGGAAGTGGTCATGTATGAAGGAATTGTGTAGTGAAAAACCACGTTAACATTAAAAGTGGACCTCAGGGAGCAAATAAAATGTAAAAACATAAAAAGTAGGTTATGGGCCTTCTGAACGGTGAACTCCCAAAGTCCACAAAGATGTAAAATCATCTCTAGGTCTTTAGAATGCATAAAAACAGGGATATAAATTATTATTAATTTGTAAAAAAAAGTAGCTCGTCATATTTCATGCAATCTCTTGAATTCCCCTGCCTTATATGTCCACTGTCATATGCAAAAGTTTGGGCACCCCAGTCAAATGACATTGAGTCTCAAAGTGAAAATAAGTTAACAAGTCCTCTACAGAGAACACACTTCTGCATATTTTAATAACAATTATTTATGTTTATTTGCTGAGTTTTACACACTAGGAAGGAATAAAACATAAAATGTGGCCTGGGCAAAAGTTACGACACATTTTGTATTTTATGTATTTTATTATATGCATATTTTACATATTTTATTTTTTCCAAATGTTAACCTAAGCAAATATTGCAGTAAACTGCAATATATAACATGTATATTTCGCTGTTGTCGGAAGAACACCTCATATCTCCAAAATGGAAACTTTACAGGGAAAAGGAAAAACCGACTTTACTTTTAATGTAAGTCAATGGAACCAGAATTTTTTCCAGGTCATTTTGGGTCATTTCTTTCAATCCATTCACCATCAAATTTACACACAATGTAGAGGGTAACAGGCATTTTCAAATTCTGTCAAAAACTGAAAAACGTCAAAAATGGAGATACAAGGTTTTCTTCTGATAGCATATATATATACATATATATATATATATATATATATATATATATATATATATATATATATATACACACACACAAATGCAGGAATTTAGGTCTGTTCAAATGGTATGGGCCACAGTCCCCATTTACGCTGAAGTCAGCTTTCCGTCCGGCCTTTTGTCCCCCGCCTCTTTCCAAATTCATAGGTGTCCTAATCCCTGCTCGGAATGGTTCGGCCACTGTTGCCATTCTGCCGGTCGCTCGGGAAGCTTCTGCAGAGTCTTTTTCCTGTTGTCTTTAGCATTCAGCTGAAACTAAAGATGTCACTGAGGCCTACGGATGTCACCCATAGGTCTACCCCAACAAAGGGCCGCTAAGCTGAACTGACCCGGCCAGATTGTTCTGGAAGACACCAGGCCACTGTGAGAGCAGATTAGGGGCGTGAAGGAGAGATTAGCCGTGTTCGGAACACCGTCGCCCACCAACCCCCCAACCCCAATCCAGGACCACACACTGACACTGTGGCCGTGCCGTCATTGTCTCAGAAAGAAACAGTGTTGCTGAAGGGCTCAGGGGCTATTGTCTCTCGGAAAATCCTTCATCGTTTGGACAGCACTAAAATCCGGATACCGGCGCTTTGATTGGCACTTGTCAGCGCTGACAGAAAAGGATGATGTGTTGGGAAACGGCAGTCCAGAAAGGACAATCGGACCAATGAATAATAATTGAGGAGGGATTTTCTCCTTTCGCCTCCACCACTCCCTCTATTCTTTGCTCTCTGCTGAAAGAGAGGAGGAGGAGGAGGATCTGGGTGGCAGGACCAGGACCGTCCGGTCTGACTGTGTGATTGGCGCTCATCCCTTTCTCAAACACACAAAGAAAAGAGATACACGGCTGACCTTCTTGCTTCACTCTGGTGGACCGGTTGTTGGGATTTCCACACAAGCAGTGCATGTGTGTGTGTGTGCGTGTGTGGGTTTTGTCCTTGGTGGCCTCAGAGGAGGGTTAGATGAAGGATTTGACTCTGCCACTCTCAGCCAAATCCAACTATCTGCCTCTTTCAGACAGGCCGGTTGGTATGGTAACCTGGTCTGTGTGTGTTTAAGATGGTTTCTAAGCAGGTCCGTGCTTCGCTTCCAGCTTTGACCATTCACTAATCAGTGCTCTGCACTGGAGGATTAGGCTATGTTAGAACAGGAGTCTTTACTGGGAGAGATAGGACTGGCTGAATGAAATCAGCTGGCCTTGTGAAACCAGATTTCACACACAAGTCTGGATATCGCGCCTGAATGAAGCCAAGCCTGGAAGAGTTATTCTCTGGAAAGAGAGGGGTTTACCTACAACTTCTGATACAACTTTTTTTCAGCATTTTCACAAAATGAAACCATGAACAGCTGCGTTAGTTGATTAGTCCATTAATCGATATGCACATCTGAAAAACTGCTGATACATAAATGCATATATCATATCTATAGATTTTAATAATAATATTGCTTGTTATATTTTTAGGAATAATAATAAGAAGAAGAATGACAACAACTTCACTTGAACCCTGCAACATACCATTAACATAACCATGTCATAACCATGTCTGTGATGAGCTGTCATGGCAGACAGTAATGTAACTATCATATATCCATTACTTGTAATTGTCCTGACATATTGTTGCTGGTGGAGCAAAACCTTGTATCTCCATTTTTTTTATTCATTATTTTTTTTTTACATAATTAGAAAATGCCAGCTGCCACTTGTGTGAAAATTGTATGACGAATGGACTGACAGAAATGGTCCAAAGTGGCTCACAAAAAATATTGTTAAATTAACTTGCATTAAAAGTTAAGAATGTGTGAAGTACTTTTTTAAGATATTAATTTTTGTTCCAACAGCAATGATATATTGTAATGTGAGTCATGATGGATAACTGGAGTAGACAAGCTGGATTATGTGAAATAAGCGGTCATGACTGTTATATTACTGAACAACATCTGTCATGACAGCATATGACATCTTCCATCACATGTTAATGTCATGGTTTTGTCAATATTATTAGCAGAGTTCACGTAAAGTGTTACAATTCTTGTTGTTGTTGTTGTTGTTGTTGTTGTTGTTGTTCTTCTTCTTCTTCTTCTTCTTCTTCTTCTTATTATTATTATTATTATTATTATTATTGCTAATGTGTTGTTGTTGTTCTAAGTATTGTTATATTAATACTCCTTCTCCTCTTTCTACTACTATTACAACAATTACTACTACTACTACTACTACTAATAATAATAATAATAATAATAATAATATGAAGCTGGGCTGGCTTGAACAGCATTTAACAGACTTTGAATACTTGTCGATATCTCAGAACAAGTATTTGAATACTCATTCTCAAAGTCACCCTTAAATACAGTAATACTTGAAGCGTTTTCAAAACTATATATGTATATATATATATAGAAATAAAGGTTCTGTTCAGGTACATTTTTCATTCATCAAGGTACAAACAGTGTAAATGTTCCCTCAAAGGTACAACAGTGGTTTTAAGGTCTGATTGTGAACCTTAAATAAGTTTTTCCAGGTGAAAAGTTCGTATTTGTACCTTTTCATAACTGAATGTTTTAAAACAGAACAGTAAAATAAAAGCCTGGAGACGAGACGGGGTGTGTGGAGTCAGTACAGCTTAGAACATATCATTTCAGTGGATTATGGTTCAGTTATGTTCCCTGACTAAAGGTACTGAGATGGACCCTTGAGGGTCCCACCCCAGTGACAAGAGGGGCACTGACCCAGTGACAGTTCAGTACCTTTATTTCTGAGAGTGAATGTATATAAGGAGAAAAAGAGCTGATGTTCCTGTTGAGCTGAGTCAGAGGCCGTGTGGATTGGACACTGTACTGTGCTTACATATTTAGTCAGACTTGCCGTGCTTCCAAGACACACTGGCCTCTTATCACAAAATTTCACTGAGTGTTTATCTTTTCATCTGATAGTTCAAACCGCTCGCACATATCATTCTTTCCGGAGGCGTCTTTGCTCTTTCAGCTCCAGGGTCCATAAGAAAGCAGCAGGTGTTTTGCATT